AGCAGAATACAAATGGGAATGGTGGGCTTTCAAGCGAAAGAAAATTGGGATGGGGGCATTTGGGAAAAGGGGTAGGAGATAGTCTTTTCAGTCAAGATTTGCTTATTTGTTATAAGTCTGTTTTTACATGTGTTGTTTTTCTGTTTTGTTCCTATAATTTGAAATGGGAGAAGGAAAGGAAAGGAAAAAAGAAAGGAAGTTTCCAGTTATCCATTGTTAGAATCTATTCTCAGCATTTCTTATCCATAATGTTTCCTTTTCTGGATGTATTTAGTTGAATTTGTGTTCACTTGTTTTGGCTGATGTATGTCCATGAAAGCTTTTTGGGGGAGGCTGGGTGGCCCTTGAGTCAGTGTTGAGTTCTAGCAACTGCCTGAACATGTCACTGCACATTTTTTGGCAAGATTTTGGAAGTGGTTTTCTATTGTGTGATTCCTAGGGCTGAGAGAGAGAGACTGGCCCAAGGCCATGGAACTGATTTTGTGCCTAAGGTGGGACTAGAATTCACAGTTCCCAATTTCTAGCCAGATGGCTTAACAAATACACCGAACTGATCCTCATATAAAACTTATAAACATATTTTCAGTTTTAAACATTGCACGTTCTTGTAGGTATTTCTGTTTTTAAGTTACCAAGTTGTTGAAAGGTAAAATTTACTACAGTATATCTTCCTTTAAAAAAAAATCACATAAATAGAAAAAGAGATATGAAAAATCAGGTTGAATAGAGATATTTTTTTTGTTGTCTGTCTGATGTATAATACCACATAAATGACATGTATACAGGTAGTAGTCCTCAGCTTACAACCACAATGAAAGAGTTTTGGTTGCAGTAGTCATAAGTTTAGTCTTGATTTTACAACCATTTTTATGACAATTGTTAAGTGAGTCACCATGGTGATTAAATGAATAATATGGTCGTAAGTCTAAATCCAGCTTGATAAATTGGCATGTTTTTTGTCAGAAAATGACTGCCAGACTCTGCAGCCAGCCATAAATGTGAGCAGTTTCCTAGAGTCTGGATCCTGGTATCATCCAAGATTCTTGGACAGGGTGGGGGTTTATAGTCACTGTCATCTGGGAGTGTTAATTGCTTTTGGGGTTGCTTCTTCACAAACAGCTAGACATGAGACCTTGTTTGTGAAACTGGACCATAAGGATCAGACAGGATTGTTCCTTGTGCACCACCTTCAGTACTGTGCACTCCAGGTGGTAGACTTATCTAACTCTTCATCCTCCTCCTATTTTCCCCACAACAGCAACTCTGTGAGGTAAGCTGGGGTGAGAAAGAATGGCTGGATAAAAGTCACCCAGCCACAACTTGCAGTCTCCTAGGAACTACTCTCCTAGTTTCTAATCTGGTTCCTTAACCGCTAGACTAAACTAGGAAAAAAATAGAATGAGGTTATTTCATCCTTCCCATTTTTTCTGAGGCTTCTTGATTACTTATCACATAGTTGCATTAAGCATTATTGCAGCACTTATGAAGTTTATAGCTTTACACTTCAGGAATGCAAAATGACTTTATGTGAGTAAGCATCACTTCTGAGTAGTCATAATAGATCTAGGATTTTGAGCAGCATTTAGGAATCTGGCATTTATAATCTTATTACATTTTAACAAATGGAAGGTTACAATCTTACATTTCATTAATCTATAAATGAATTTTGTTGCATCTAATAGGGTTATTCAAGACTTAATGGGCTTTTATATGAATATGTATATATTTTATTAAACATCAGATTTACATATTATGAGGTTTTTTTAATTTTATACTGACCTACGCATTGATCATCCCCTCTACTGGCAAAAATGTCCTGATACAGTCCTGTTTTTTTTATACATATAAAACTTAATCTGCTCTTAAAAATTCTCTTAAAAATCAGGCCTTATAGGATTCATATTTTAGAGGAAAATATGAATATATAATATGCATGTGTAATATTAATATTAAAGTTTAATATTAAAGTTATTTATTATTTTTAAAAATTATGTGGCCACTTAGCCTATATACCCTAACCTGGGTGCTCTCAGAAACACAGACATATTTGCAATGACATTGATAGAGACTGAAATACTAACCCAGTTGGTAGTCCTTTCTTCCCAGTAGTTCAGAGTAAGCTTTTCATCTTATAAAAAGTATTTCTGAAAGGATCATAAGCCATCTGCAATTTATGAAAATTTGAAACTTACGTATTCCTGAAAACAAAATTGCTCCATCAAGACATGGCAGGTATATTCTTAATACAAGAGAAGTTAGCCACTAAAGGCTGTGTATAGCTGAGTTATGCTTCTGAAATTGATCTGGACTAAACTGATATGTTGAAATAGGCATTGATGGATATGCATCCATGATTGCACTACTTCTCAAATACTACCTCTTTTCACTTTACCCTAAAGTAATTTGGATGCACTTTTTTCATCATAAGCCTTTTATTAAATATTCACTCATGATGTAGCAGACTTGGTATTTTATTGAGTATAACTTTGGCAAAGACTATCTAACAGGAATCTGTAGTCAAATCCCAGTGTCTGAAGCAATCCTTCATAAAATTTATGTTCTGTATATTTTTATTATGCACCAGTTTTGAAAACAGTCCATTTCTGGCTGCATATTGTATTTTCTGTGTCATATACAGAAGTGGTGAAATATGATATTCCCGCCATGTCTTAGTGGTAAAAGCAAAGGATATTATTTTCCTTCTTTTAGTCTTCTTTGTACTACAAGCAAAATGTAGATAACATCATCAGGAGAGGATATGCTAAAATCAAATTCATAGGGACATTATACATCAGGGTTTGAAACTCAATTTCACTGAGGGCCACATCAACATTGCGGTTGCCCTTGGGGAGCCAGGTGGGTGTGGCCAGGGTGGGTACAGCCTACTGGGTGGGCGTGGAGGGAGTGGGTGTGGCCTACTGGGTGGGCATGGCCAGCTCTACATTGTTTGTGTCAATGGTGCCTGTGGGGGCCTGGGCAGGAGTGGGACAGATCTGAGGGTCTCTGGCAGAAGGGACCAGGGCAAGTGCCAAGGCATTGTCCACTGGAGGAGCCTCACTGTTCCTCTCAGGCCATAGTGGGGCTGGATGGTGGTGCGGGCTGCCCAGAGCCCTGGGCAGCACAGATCAAATGCCCAGCCTGGCTCTCGAGCACCCGTGGCACCAAGCCCAGCCCCACTTCCCCAAGGGGGTGCCCAGCTGCACTTACCTCCTCCTCAAGGCTGCTGCTGCTGTGCTTGCTCTCCTTAGCCAGGTTGTTCATGATGGGTACCAGGGCAAAGTCAGAGGGAGACTGATGAGTTTCATCATAGATGGCCACCACAAAATTGTATATTGGCTCCCGGCCGGCCGGCCTGGGCCAGGACGAAGGCAGTGGGGGCCGTTCCCTCACTGTTTCCAGGATGGCTTTGCGGGCCACATGAAACCACTTTGCGGGCCGCATCTGGCCCCCGGGACCTTATGTTTGACATGTCTGCTGTACATGGATGAATAGTGAAAGGATAATAAAATACCATTTACTGTGAAAAATATTAACATTATTGGTATTTTGTTCAAATTCAGTACTGGCAGAGACAGCAAGTTTAACACTCCTCAGTCACGTAATATTAGATACATTATGTGTGAGAATATATTTAGCAAGTTTTAAACCTTTGTTCTTACCATGGTGGATCACTTGGCTTTTAAAAGTTCATTCTGAATCAGGACTTTACTTTGTAGATATTTCTATTGGATTTCATTTATGTCTTGTTTTAAAACTGATATATATTTATCTTTTGGAATAAACAAGGTTTAACTGTATAAATAAATGCAGTATGGATGTATGATTTTTTCCCAAGGATCTATTTGTGCAATTCTCTTTATTTCCTAATATTTGATCATAAGAAAAAGAGTGACTTTATGAACGGAATATAATATAGGTTCATTATTGTAATATCAAAATTCTAACATTTGAACTCTATTTACATTTTCTTTTCTACCTTTATATCAGGAGAGAATTTTACAAACATTTCAGTTGTTCTGGAAGTAAATTTGTTTAGATTTTCTCGAACAGTTTTTCTAGTTAAAAATTCACACAAGCCCAGAAGAAGGAATATGAGTTTGGATGAGGATACAGATGTGGTAATGGGAAAAATTAAGGATCTAGTATATAGAGTGAACCTGGAGTGAATATCTGGAGTGGGAATCAGGATTCTAAGAAGAAAATATTTGAGAAAAAATAGGAAATCTCTAAGAACTTAAAGAAAAAAGATTTATAAGAAATCTTTTTTTATACAAGCTCTGGTGGGCTGTTTGTTTATGCTAAGGAGAGGGAAACAGGAGAGTTTAAGGAAGCTGGTTTAAGCACTGGCCATGTTAAACAAGGATCCAAGACAAATTATATTTTGGATGCACAGTGAGAAAAAGAACTGTGGCAAAGTCTCCCTTAGCTTCTTAGATCAGCCTTCTTTATTAAACAGAAGAAGGCTGGCTTAAGAAGCTAAGAAAGATTAGCTAATAGATAGTTAATAGCTGTGCTCACTGGGAATTCCAAGAATTGTTTTTAAAACATTTGGAGGGTACCAGGTAGAGGAAGACTGACAAAAGGATTAGATGTTTGCTACTGGAAGAAAATGGAAGGAAGAAGTAGTCTGGAGGACTGACAGATAAGAGTTAGCCTATTTCCCTGCTAAGTGTGGGTAATGGGGTTGGAATCCAATACATCTGGAAATTGTCAGATCAAGGAAAACAGGGCTGTTGTAATCCTTAAGAGCTGTACTGTATATAAATTAAATGCTATTTCTCCTATGGTATTTCTTAAATCTAAGGAAGTAATGAGGCCCAGGAAGCATATGGTATGGAATGCACAAGGAGAAAAGATCAAATTCCGGAATCTAGTTGTGTTAACGTCTCTGCTACAAATTAAGTACTGAGTTCAAAGCACTTTCTAATATCCTTAGACATAGCTTTTCCCACTTTATTTATTCTCACTGCCTGATATTCTTATAATTCTCTTGCCTTTAGATATGGAAATCTGGAGATCTCAAACTGTGAAGAAGATGGGAGCCAGAACAATACCGAGACCAAAACAGTACTCAGGAAGTAAGTGTTGCATTTCTCTGAACAGCAAGAATCATAGCCAAGGTTGAATACCAAGAAAAGGATGTGGTCAGTGTTCAGCTGGAAATTATACACAAATCAGTTTATTACACAAAGGAATGTAGGAACGTTGTCACAACTCTACAAAAGATCAACATCTTAGAAAAATGAGAAGTTAATTGTCAGAATAAAGCCAAACATAGAAACTAGAATTAGTAGATAAAATACTTGTGGGCATTATCCAACCAAATTAATTCTGATAAGTAGGTTAGGAAATACATACTGCAGCATCCCCCCATTGAAATAAGGGGCTTAAATATGACTGGATTGGTATTCCTTTTGCCTGTTCTTCACAACAATCACAACTTTATTCTATTCTGCTCATTTACTTAACTAAAAATTATCTTAAATTTTATGTTTGATTTAATATGTGAATGATTTCAGCATTGTGCTTAGAGGATTTTAGTCATCTCAATGCAAAATTTCACTGAAACACCCAGTTATTGCATTTATGACAAAGTCAAGCTGGAAGCTGTTTTTAACTATCAACCTTATAGAAAACATATCAGCTTGAAATAGAGAGCATTTTTAGTTTTAAAATGTACGAAGACTCTTTCCCTATAGTTGGGTGTGCTGCACCGGCAATCATCAAGAGGACGTTTAAGCATAATGTCAGAGTCACTGTTACTAAGAGTGGTTCCATCTTCACTGATCTGTTAAGTAAAATACACCGTGTTATTATGGGCCATGCATGAAACAACTTTAGCTTTTCCTCTTCCTCTCAAATATGCATGTTTTGAACGTAAGAATGATTACTTCTCTGAAACAGGGACAGCCAGTAAGGCTGACAGGATGTGAAATGCAAATGATGATCTGGACATATACGAAATGTAAATTGCCTTGATGTTCGGCTTTCTCTGCAATGCTGCACAGTAATTTCCAAAATCACTCTCAGTAAGCATAATGCTCCTTTCTTGTCCCTCATATCAGAGGTCCCCAACCTTTTGGGCACCAGGGACTGGTTCCGTGGAGAGAGATTTTTCCACGGGTCAGAGAGTGTGTGGTTTTGTGTGCTGCCTGTATCGCACAGATGGGGCTTTGCTTGTTTGTGTGGACTGGTTGCTGGCATGCTGCGGCCCGGTAGTGGTCTATGGACCGGGGGTTGGGGACCCCTGCCTCATATTATGTTAAAGTCAATTTTATTCACTTCACAAGTTAATAGTGCAACATAAGTGGCATATATATCTCCTAGAACTCCAGCCTGGATTCATCCATCTGATAAAAGAGATTGCTGTTTTCAAAAGTTCATCACAGAGTAAGCCAGTCTTTTTCTTTAGGAAAGTCAAGGGAAAAGACTTGTTCAACTTTCATTTATAACCCCGTGAATTTAGTATGACGGAGGGAGAAATAATTCGGTGAGTTTCATTACTGAGAAGACTTTTTAACCAAACCAGGTTTCCAAGCACCAATCTCAGAACAACAGTGTACTGCCTATAAAACTTAAACTTCTTACAATAAACAGAAACTTGAGGTTCCTGCTCCAGCATCTAAAAAGGCCCATAGTCTGATTCCTTTGTCCCTTCAGAAAAAGTAGCATGACTCTGAGCTAATTTATTAACCTTTCAGGTCTTGAGAAATGTCCTGACTTGGCATTGACACAATGTCTTTTTTGGGTTAGACTTTCTGATTTTTCAATGTCTGGCAGAAAATAGTCCCTGCATTATTCTCTCCCTCTGCCCTTTTGTCATGAAGTACTCACTGTAGCTTACAAGATAATTTAAACTATCTCAGATATGCCGGGGACTTTGGCATAATATGGTGGAGAGATAAACTGGCCGGGCTTGGCTCCAGCCTAAGCTATTGATTTCCTTCTGGTGCTGGGCAACTCTCTTGATCATTGTATATTTTTTAAAATTCAGCTACAAAATTGAACTGGATTATTGTAGATACCTATTTTTCCTTCTCCGAGACATAGTGGGTATTGAATTCCCTCCTCCTTGTCTCCTATAATTGCCTTCTTTTGGGAAATGATTTAAATTTTAATTTTGAAACTATGTGTTATCTTTTTGCACTTCTATGGCTACCAGTTATGGTATGCGAGTGTCAATATACATATTTTTTTTTAAAAAAAGACCTAGGATTATGGAATGCAAATGATAGTATAAATAACTAACTTTTTTTAAAAAAAAAGACCTAGGAAATTGACTTTTAGATGTAGTAATTAGTTTGTCAAATACTAGAATCTTTGAGGGTAAAATTGCAGGATTACTCTGATTTTTCTGAAGTATCATTGCCTTTGGTTTTGCTTTTAATGATGCACTTTCCAGTTTACTACTTCTGTGTGGTCAGGATTTTGTTGCCTTTGTCTCTTGTTAATTATTCCTCCAGTAAAGCAAGGTGTCCTCTTTCACTGTTATATAAATAATTGCATGAAAGAATGGAGTTAGTTGAAGCAACCATGGAATGAATGTGAAAGACTTCTTTTACAGCCTGGGAAATCCACAGTGAGAGAGCTGTTTTAAGTTTTGTTTGTGTTGAGTACAATCTACGTTCATTCTAGTAAAGGGTAAAATAACAAAAGAAACCACTCTGGCTGACCTAAGGAGAAAAAAGGCCAAATAGTGACAATTAAGAGAACTGGAAAATTGGGGAAGGTTCCAAAACAAGTCAAATTATTTGGACAATGGGAAAAGAGAGGAATGAGGTCAGAGTGGTTTAGTACAGCCCTCATAAATACCAATATCATGAAATTATAGAGACCTATTATAACATGCATCCTTTCATCTCAAGATCCTAAGTCTGTTTTCAGTTTTTTTTTTGTATGGGGCCACATTCTGGACTATCGCCTTGCAGAATATTTATTCTTGAAGGGAATGGATGAATGTAGGATTCACTTAATATATACATATATTCTGCAAAATTACAGTCAGTAATAAAAGGTGATGGTTTTTAGTTTTCTTCAATGAGTGCCGTTATGTGCAGCTTTTAATATGCCACAGTTCGATCATATGTTCATTGACTAGTTTAGTCCTGATAAATATGACTGCCAAATGGATGATTGTATTTTTTTCGGTCTCATTTAAACCCAACAAAATCTGGGTTAATAATAGTTGAGCTCCAAGCTTTTAAATCTTAGGTTTTTCCTCTCCTGGCCTGAATTGTTATGTTTATATCAGTATGGACTACAGAGAAGCTAGTGAAAGATTCTAGACTTCCAGCTAAAAAGTACGGTTTTCTAAAAGTACGCCCATGATTCCACATCAGTTTTTTCAACAAATGGACAGACAAAGTGTTAAAAAATTAAAAAGTCCTCCCCAGGAAAGAAAAAATTCATTTGGTTTATTTTCTGTTTAAGATCTTGGAAACTAGCTCCGTCTGTTTTCAGCTGGCAGAAACAGGGTGTTACTTTTCAGGGACATTAACCATTGAGGCTGCTACATGGTTTGGCCTTCGATCCAGCCTTTTTCCGGAAAGCTTTCCTCCCTAATGAGCTGATTAAACAGTCAGCTGATGGGAGGCCGGTAAGTTATAAGGGCAGTCTGCATAGTTTGTTTTATTGCCTCTGTGTTGATTGACATGATTTTGTAGGGAAACTCAGAGCTTACTGTAACTTTGAACTCTACTAAGAGCGCAGCCATGTGTCTTATGCTTAACAATACTCACATTCTGAGTAGAATACAAAGGGAGAAATTTCACATCTTCCAAACAATAAAATATTTTATTTCCTCCAGGCTGATATGCTTGTACTGTGTATTTAACTGATAACTGATATTCCATTGAAATAGCTGCAGTCTTATCTGCTGGAGAAAGACTATCACTTTCTGAGTAGAGTGGTCATTTTCACATTTCTGAAAAAAGGGTTCACATATATTTTTGTGATTTCTATGATTACTTATGAGCAAATAATTGTTTGCAAATTTATACTGTGCGTGGAAAGTTTACATATATAGAACCAGTGTACCCTGGGAAAAACAATGTCTAGGAGGGGATCATTATAAATGCTGAGCTTTTGCTTTGTTAGACAACTTCTAAGCTCCTGTTGCCCATTTTTATGGCTTTTCTGCCTTTAAGTGCAACTTAGATGAGACAGTTCTTCCAGCTGACAGCAATTTTAAAAAGGAAAGCCTGCTCTATAAAGGATACAGCCATATTGATTTAAAGAGACATTAGGAAAGAGTACAGAAATTCAATTTCATGTAACATTCATACCATGCCCCAAAATAGGTGTTGCAGATTTTTGAGACAGGATTAAACTCCATTAATACTCTAAATATTAAATTTAAGGCTATAAATAGTTATATAAGTAGACACTCCGTCCCTGGGCACCTTTAGACGGAACTATTGCAGTGCGCGTTACATGGGGCTACCCTTGAAGAGTATCCTGAAGCTTCAGTTGGTACAGAATGCAGCAGAGTGAGCTGCATTGGCTGCCAGTTTGCTTCTGCGTCCAATTTAAGGTTTTTAGCCTCTGAATCCTTCTTGGCATGGGACTGGTTATCTGAGGGATTGCCTCTCCTTAGTTACATCAGCCCACCTCACTAGATCTGGCAGGATAGCCATGTTGCAGATACGAGCAGCTAGAGACTTTCCTTAGGTGGATCCCAGGAGATGTGCTTTCTCCGCTGTGGCGCCCCCTTATAGAACATTCTTAGCCCCAAATTAGACTAGTTTCCTTTTGAAATTCCGTAAAACCCTCAAGTCATGGCTATGTTTTCAGGCAACTGGAGACCTGTACAAATGACTCCATTGTCGAGATGGCCATATTTATCCTCCCTGTGCTATGGTCTGTATTTTTTGTTTTTATGATATTTATCAAAAAAGGTTTTTTAAATTTTGTACATTTTTGTTTTTATTTATTGTTTTTATCTAATATTCACCATTCAGAGTCATTTCTGATGAGATGGGCAGCTATATAAATTTGATTAATGAAATAAATAAATAAAATAAACCTCTGTTGATGAAGATGTGTATACACCATGAATCAACTTCCTTTCTCCAGAAATTTCATCAATGCTTTTTTAAAAACTATAATCTTTTTTCCAGTTCTGCACATCCCCTTCACTAATGCTAAGCCAAATTATTGTTTTTTTGCAGAGGGGCTGTTAGAATAGTTTGTTACCAAAACCTTTTGAAGCACATTGATGCAATGCTTCCTGATTATGGGACTTCCAGATATGTGGACTTCAGCTTCTAGAATTCAGAGCAATAATTTTGCTGGCTATTGAATTTTGGGAGGTGAATCCCATGTTTGGAAGTACCCCATAGTGGAAAATACTGCATTCATAAATGAGAATTAGGGAACAGCATTAAGATCCTCATTCATATCCTTGGGCAACGTTCTTCAGTCTTGTGGCATCCAAATGGGCAGGATTACCATTCCCAGTATTCCCAGCAGCGTGGGCTTTGTCCAGGCTGCCCAAAATTGATAGGTGCTGTTCTTTTAACGTATTAGGAGGTTGCTGTTTAAAGGCTTTGCTAAGGCAGAGTGGTCTGAGCTTGGAATGTGCACACTGTAGAGAAAGAGAACAAGACCGAAGTGTTTCCCATCAACATGTCAGTAACAATTTGTTGACTAGTAGTTTTCTGCTGCCCTTTGCAATGTGCATATCGTCACAGTGAGGGCTGTTGAGCTTAAAACAGTTAATACTACAGGATTTATATGGTTTTTGTTTTCCTTTTCAAAGAATAACAAGAACAATCAGTCTTTTAACTTCAGATGTACTTGCAAGTATGTATAAGAGACCTTAGTTACAGACAGAAATCTAGGGCAAGTCTCCACTTGATACTGAGAATGTGATTCAGCCCTGAAATTCTGCAAGAGCTGAGATGTTTTAGCACAGTGTATTGGATGCTGCAAAGTGTGATTTTTAAAAGTTAGTTTTGGGTGAGAATAGAGGAAGGAGATTTTTAAGTACCTTCCTGATTCCTTTAGTTTGGATAGCAACTTTGGGGAACATGCTCATATAGCTGATTTGTATCAGTTTCATGGTGGAGCTGACCTGGCTTTCCTAAGCACATCTTATTATGTATTCATTTAGTTTGTAATATTTATATCCTGCCTAAATCCTAACAAGATTCTGGGCAGGTAAGAACAAGATAAAAGATATAATCCAAACTAAAAAGAAAGCCAAAAATCAGGACAAGACACTATGAAATAACTAAGCCTGAAAGCATATTCAAACAAGTAAGTTTTAACTGGTTTGAGAAATGCAGACAGGGTTGTGGTAATAGGTTGTGGTAATACGTAGTTCTGGTGAGATGGTATTCCAGGAAGTGGGGATCAGAGGTTACAATCCTGAATCAGATACTAGTTCAGGTTCTCCAGCCTGGCTTGGGCTGGCATAGAGTAGAGTAGAGTAGAGTAGAGTAGAGTAGAGTAGAGTAGAGTAGAGTAGAGTAGAGTAGAGTAGAGTAGAGTAGAGTAGAACAGAACATAATCTTCCAGTGTTGGAGCAGTCACAATTTCTGGAGACAAAGTTGGAGCAGTCATAACTTCTGAAGACAAAGTTGTTCACTGATTAATTTTTCTAACTGTCAGGAAATTTCTCCTTAATTTTAGGTTGCTTCTCTCTTTGATTAGTTTACATCCATGCTTCTTGTCCTGCCTTCAGGTGATTTGGAGAACAGCTTGACTCCCTCTTCTTTGTGGCAGCCCCTGAGATATTGGAACACTGCTATCATGTCCCCCCTCATCCTTCTCTTCATTAAACTAGACATACCCAATTCCAGCAACTGTTCCTTATATGTTTTAGCCTCCAGTCTCCTAATCATCTTTGTTGCTCTTCTCTGTACTCTTTCTAGAGTCTCAACATCTTTTTTACATCCTGGCAACCAAAACTGGATGCAGTATTCCAAGTGTGGCCTTACCAAGGCATTGTAAAGTAGTATTAATACTTCACATGATCTTGAGTCTATCCCTCTGTTAATGCAGCCTAGCACTGTGTTGGTTTTTGAGTCCTAAGCAGCCACCGAACCTGGGAACAATTAAAAAGAGACATTCCAAATCTTTGCAGCCCCACAATAGTTTTCCCAGAGTGAAAATTTATTTGGAGGTGGACGGAGATGCTGGCTGAGCCCAGCACATCATTACTTTTTAGAATTATATCAGAATTATAGCACTATTGATTTTAACCTATTTTGGGTTTTTAGGTTTTGTTGCGTGACCCAGAATCTAATGATACTGATGCAGCTCACTGTATATGATGTATTTTTGTTTTGTTTTGCAGTGCCATAGCCTCAATACTGAGAGCCTGGTTAGACCAATGCTCGGAAGATTTCCAAGAGCCACCTCATTTCCTTTGTTTGCAGAAACTGCTGGATTATCTGACCAGGATCATGCCAGGCTCGGACCCGGAAAGAAGGGCACAGCAACTCTTGGAGCAGTTTCAGAAGCAAGAAGTAGTAAATAACAGTAAGGATATTCCGCAAACATTTTAACAGCCAATTTTTATAAGGAAGCAGATTATATCATTGGACTGTTTCGGCATTTGTTATGCTGTGCTATCACTTGGAATAAGTAGGGGGGTGGTGGAAAGGAAAAGTGGCTTGTAAACTTTTAATTTAGTGTGCTTAGTCAACCAGTTTTCTGATTTTGCTCTGTAGGAATGCGAGGAGCCAAACGCTTCTGCCAAATTCCCTAACGTTTAAAATGCTGCTTTGAGATGATTATCAGCTTAAGTGCAGCTTGCAGGTTTTCAAAATAAATTCACCATTGCTCTGATTTTTCACTTTTAAAATTGTTCGCTCCCCGTGATCCAGCAGGGATTTTTCTATTATTACTTTCCTTTGCTCCTGTCATGACAAAAGGAAGTGTCTGGGATTGTTTTTTCCTATTTGAATGGTCTGGTGCTGACATCCGAGGACAAAAGGAAAATTTACGTTAGCAGGTCAAAATGCCACTGGAACAATGGTGAACAGTAGTGACACTGGAATGTTGCTTGCAGTGTCAGGACTGATAAATAGCCTTTCCCCTTCCCCCCAAGACAGAACGTTTCCTATGGGCATAATTAGCATAGCTAGAAAGCCATTGGAACTTGCCTGATGAACACAACCAAACGAACGTCCAGTTTTCACAGAGAAGCAGTAGGAAATGGATAGGAAATGATAGCACACACAATAAGGAATGAATGCTATAAACTTCAGGAATTCTTTCCCCTTTGAATATTATCTATCTGAATGTTGCAAAATGTACCAGTTATGCAATTAGTCATCCTTGGCACCAAATAAATGTACTTTTTTTTCCCAAAGGAAAAAATCTAAATAGTTCTTCTCATCCGAAATTTCAAAATCTCCTAGGGTTGTTAATTTGTATCTAATGAACCCATATATCAAACGAAGGAAGTCTAAATGCTGAGAACTATAATTAGCTGTTTACAGAATAAAAAGTTCCCACAGAATTTCCTAGGCACAGCAGATATTCTAGGGTATAGAAGTCTTGTCTCTTAATTTCTCACTGAAAAAAATGGAACATTATTTCAGCTGAATCTAAGATGTTTTTAGTGAGATCTTCTTCACATTAAAAAAAAGTTTAAATGTACATACAAGTTTTACAGAAAAAAATACAGGAATTGCTGTCACTTGTGTAATATCTAACAGCAGTGGTCATCTCAGGAACCAGATTCTATAGAACAAGTACAATTTCTTTCCCTATTAATAATGCTTTCTAAAACTTCAGAAATGTTTACCAGTTTAGGCAGTCTGGATAAAATAGAGGCTGCATTTTAAATGAAATTGGTTCTCTGAGATGAGGGAAATCTCCACAGTTTTGGATTTTGAATCACGATTGCACCAGTGGAGAAGGTTCTGAGATTCTGTACTTTTGATACAACATGCATATCAGCTATTTAGAGGAAGAAAGAAATCAATTTCCCCTGGCCCCGAGGAGACCTCTTGCAGAAGCCTGAATAACTTTTTGGATCTTACCCAGTGGTGGGTTTCAAATATGTGAACAACCAGTTCTCTGTGTGGATGCCGCTTCCGGAAGTCCCTTCTGGGCCTGGGCAACAAAAAATTAGCTACCGTAGTCAATTTTCACAATACTTTATATCCTGACAGGTGAGATTCATGATATATTTGCAATTGAAGAAGAAACAGAGATCAGTAGATCAGAAGAATTTTCTTCTTTCCCAGAAGACCTTGTAGCGGAACAGTTAACTTACATGGATGCTGTAAGTATAAACAGATGTATACTTATGTAAGCCTAAATAGAGATTATAATTCTGAAGTGTTTGCTTTATGTATTCCTTAAATTTTTATTTAGCTTTCCAACCATATGGTATCCAAGACAGTGAACAGTCAAATATAAACCAACAATCAAAATATAAAAACAAGTTGATGAAACATCAGAAAACTAATGTATACAATTTTAGTTGATGCAAACAGCTGATTAACCATATGTGACATTTTGATTCCTCTTTGGAAAATGTGCTGGGTTTATTTCTATTGTTTTTCTTACCTGAGGTAAAATTGCCCTTTATTTACACTAATGGCATGGCAAAGTGAGTTGTTAAATTGCTTCATCAGTTTTCCTGGTAGGCTCACTGAATGAAGAAATTATTAATTATTAATCAGATTTATATAACCACCCATCTTATCAAAAGCAACTCTGGGAGGCGCGCAACAATCAAATGAAAACAACACATGTAAAAACTACAAGTATAAAACATAGGAATCTGTATTAATGCTTATCATAAAACCAAAGGCAAAGGGGGGATAAAAATGATCACTTTAACAATGGAGCCATTTAAGTAATTTCTGGTTGTTCAAATTTCTTTCATTTGGGAAATTTGCACATCCAACTTCTGTAACTTTTCTTAATCAGTCTTCTCTAAGATGATGCAGTTATTATGTACCTGTTTTAAAACTTGGAATCAATTTATAACATCCATTTTTTTTCAAAAGCAAACAACATTTGATTAAAATACATAATACTTGGGGGAGGGGCTTTATCTTGCTTTTTTTCTTTCCGTTCCCCCCTTTTTTCTTTTCCTCGTTAGCTTGCGTTTTAAAATTTTTAAACTTTCTCTTTTTTTAAGATTAAATGTTTTGATTATAAACTAAATATTTTTAAAAGATACTTAAAAGATACTTGAAAGAAATTTTCTTAAAAGATACTTTTATAACAGCATTTGATAAAAAATAACTAAATTACAGTAGAAGATTGCTGATTTTTTTATATTGCAAAATATTGCAAAGCTGAAGGCAAATAGTGAACCAGTTAAATGACTCCTTAGACATAGATCATTCTCTCTAAAGATTGATTAAAGCAAGTTTGTTTATGTAATATGTTTATCTGAACTAATTGTCATATGTTACTAATTGCTGATTGCTCACCAGTCCATTTTGTTGTGCTAGATGTTTTTCTGCAATTGGAAACTGATAAAAATGTTCAAAAGAATTGCAGAACTTTGCATGAAAGTTTAAATGGATAGGGTTTGATTCAGTTCAAGGCAATCCATGAACTGAATTTTCAAATACAGTACATAGGCAAGCCATGATCTGAACCTGTTTTTGTTTTGCTTTTTTCCCCCTCATTTGACTTTTTTGTTACAGTGACGTTCAGATGTAGAATGATAACCTTAATGATGTTTTGTTAGTTCAGACTTTGTGACAGGCTACATTTAGTGCAAGTCTTTGTTTGCAAAATCATTTTAAATCCTTTTATTACTCTGGTTATTTGATTAACTGTAAGACAGTCTGTTAATTACAGTAAATTCACAGACTAATTATGTTTTACAGTCTGTAAAACTTAATTAAGCTCATATAACTATAATCTAGAAGAGCGTTCAGATTAAGTTTATATATTTTATTTCCAAATATTATATTTCAAAGAACATTCTGTTTTCAAATAATATAGACCAAGCAGTATTTGCTTATTATTCATGGTTAAAAAGCCTCATGTCTCACATACATATCTGTTGACCTGTTCTAAATCATGTCAAACATAATTAAATGCACTATTAAATGCACACATTTAACACTTTGCAGGTAGATCAGAATTCAAGGTTGTACATCTCTTTTACATTTATCAACAAAATAAAACTCACAAAATAAAACTCTCATAAGACTGTTGTCAGTCTTAGCTATCAGTGACTTACAGTATCTCAGGTTAAGTAGAGCCAGCTAAAACATTACTGTGTTTATGAAATCAGAATATTTCTTTATGAAAATTGATTGCCAGAAGTTCAGTTAAACAGGCTGAATTCTCACTATTTGTCTGATATTTTTTAAATCAGTTTGAACCTTTTTTCTGTAGGGCTAATAGATGGAATGGAATAATAAAAGATATTCAACTGTTAAATTATTCCTAAACCAAATTGCCAAATATTGGACTTGACTATTCAATTCCAGGCAGGCAATTATTGTAGAATATTTAAAAAGCATTGACTCACCACTCATTCCTCATAACAGCCTTATAAATTTTAATAAAATTAAACAAACAACAAATATTTCTCAGCAATATAATAGTCTGGATGAAATTAGCTAAAGGAATGCATGCATACATACATAAAAAATATGTGAAGTAATTCTTCAAATCCATGGTTTTAAAGTTGTTCATTGATATGAAAATATATGAACCAATCATAAAGCCCAACAATGCACATGTATTTCTTTCCATTTTATGCAATGTAATAAAACACTATTAATGTTGCAGGAAGAGTTGTACCACATAAAATAACACACGAGTTGCAAAAGAACAAACCATGGATTTGCATTGGTAGATTTATGTCTACGCTTTTTGCTGGGTTTGCTGTACAATTCCCAAGCAATTGCTCCATGTGGAAGTTATAGTTACAAGAAATAAAGGATTGAGTAACCGCTAGTGCTGACACTCTATGTTTTAGACTCATTTTCTTTTCAGACTCTGCTCTGTTATATTTGCTGCATTCTGGTATTTGATTATTCACAAACTAGAACCGTGGCAGATTTATACTGTTGCAAAGATGTTTTTGTTGCATCTCTGAGTCATTCCTCTGAGGTTATTTGTTGAAAAATGGAGAGGGAGAACTCTTCCTTTTGAAAACTGTAAAAGTAAACGTTGGAAAAGTTTAAACTGACTCTTGTATTATCTCATGATATTTTTGTTTGCTTATGCTGTTCTTGCATATAAGCATATACCCAATAAATATTACCACTACTACTAAAAAAGTCTATTGCTGTCTATGAGATTCAAGGGAAAAAAAGTTGTGCCTGTTGTCAGAAAGGTTGGAATGACTACCATGTTGGGTATTTCAACACAATACTCTAGTAGAAATAAAGACAACTGGTCTTATAGCCTTGACATGATATTTTATGTGTTGTTCCAGACACTGTTTAAAAGAGTGGTGCCACACCACTGTTTGGGCTGCATCTGGTCTCGGAGAGATAAGAAAGAAAATAAACACTTAGCTCCCACCATCAGAGCCACCATTGCACAGTTCAATGCAGTCACCAAATGCGTCATCAGGATAATTTTGAATGGCAAGGAGCTGAAAACCCATCAACGCGCCAAGATCATAGAGAAGTGGATCAATATTGCCCATGTAAAGACTCATTTTGTTCCATTTGTCTTTTGTACAAATGCTGGATTGTATGTGTTTGTGTGTGTCCATTATAGCATGCATGAATATCAGGGTTCATCTAATCCCTATCTTGAGTGTTTTTTTCTTCCCCGAATAATATGGATAACAGGTAGACTAGCTTTGGGCATAACATATCAGATGACCTTGGAAGTGCAATAGAACAGAGTCAATTTTTCCTGGATGGTAGAAAGGCTTTGACATTTGTTAATCAATTTAGTTTGGGAAGTAATTCCAAACCTTTCCAGTCCCATTTCTTTCTGATTGCATTTGTTTGTTTGTTCATTTGTTTGTTTATTATTGCTGCTATCCAAAGTGACTCTGAGCGGCTTATAAAGTGTTTTATAATTTGAATACTGGCATTTCATGGGATAACAATATTTTGTGTATATTACATTTAGTTATTTTCACTCTGATTATGCAGACTAACATGTTTCAGTTGTGATAAATGGAAACTATAATATTAATTTAATGATCAAAAGATGAAGAAAGCAAAAACACAGTAACCCAACTCTAGAAGATGTTTTCACAGCCAGAAAAACCAACACATTTTTTTTAAAAGAATTGGCCAATGCTTATGCAGTTGACAGATTCTTTTAAAAAAAAAAAATCAGAGTAACAATGCTCCTAAAAGAGTAACTGAGTCATGTGTAACCCTTCTCTGTTCCATTTTCACTCCCTTTATAGGAATGTAGGATTCTTAAGAATTTCTCCTCTTTGAGAGCCATCGTTTCAGCACTTCAGTCCAATTCCATCTATCGGTTAAAGAAAAGCTGGGCATGTGTTGCAAAGTAAGATCAATTTCCCACCTATTTTTGGACAGTTGCTAGTCATGACACCATATAAGCATTTTTAGCCTTTGGGACTTCAAGTCATGGAAATCTGTAATTTAAAATTCCTATAGAGTTGATGATGGGCTGATGCAGATGGGAGAAAAAATTGAAGGCAGCTAATAATCAGCAATAACAAGACTTTTAATTTCTGACTAGCAGAAATGTCTCTAAGGATGCCTAATTTAGCTATTGATGTTACTATTTTTCTACAGTTCTTCAATTACAAAATTATCTAAATTCTCTCCAAGTCCTCATACCAAGGAAACAAAAAAAAAGTTAGGAAATCCATTAACAGTGAGAACAAGTGTGGTGTAGTGGTTAAGGTGTATGACTCACACAGGGGGAATCTATCCTCGGCCAAGGAATCTCTTTTGGCCAATCATATTCTCTTAGCCTACTCTACTTCACATAACTGTGGTGAGGAAAAGAAGCAGTTACTCTGCTTTAAACTTCTGAACAAAAAGTGGAGTATAAATGCCTGCATTTCAGAGAACCTAGAAGCTTAGGGGACGGATTGGGTTGTTACATCAGAAAAATTATTAAGAGAGTACAATGAACTTCTTGTTTAACATTATGGTTAGAATAATAGTCTTCTTGCTTGGACGGTGACCTAAAAGAAAAGATGTAGTTGGGGATTTGCCTGGATTCTAAAACGAAAAAATCTCCTTACAAGACGATACCATCATCACAGCCTCATTTTAATCAATGGAGCAAATTATCATTAGCTTATTTTAGGAAGACTGAAAACTTTAAAATCATTCCATTTTATTTTGTACAGAGACAAAATGTTGATGTTTGAAGAACTGTCAGAAATTTTCTCAGATCATGACAACTATTTGACAAGTCGGGAGCTGCTAATGAGGGTGAGAAGCAACAGATATTTCAATGATAGTGTAATATATTACAACTACAGGGTTCAATTTTGGCTAAATAACTTCCAATATATACTATTAACTTGTGAATAGATATGCTGGTAGAAGTACTTTAAATAACAAAGATTATCTTAAATCTTGAGTAAGCAGTTCTCTATATGTGAATATAGGTATATGTTTAATTCAGTGGTCCAATTTATGAATGGAAAATAAAAATTTCGTGTATTAGCAGAAACGTCAAAGCAGGCAACTGCTGATATAAGATGCTACAAGTCCTATTTTGGTTTTACTGAATGGCCAGTCTGAGAATTGTCCTTCTTGGCTTATCAGATCTAGTACGAAGAGACTGCCCATTTGAGTCCAGAAGGTCATAAATGCCTCATTGAGAGAGAGCAAAAGAAAGAAAGAAAGAAGTCTCAGCCTCTTGGAAATAAATTGTGATCAGGCTACTCCTAAAGATGCCAGATTTGGATTTGGAAGATAAAAACAGCTATAAGCTAATGCCAATATTCCTTTCCTAGATAAGGGCTTTGAGTGAGTAGTGACTAATCAGCTGCAGATTTTCTTGTATAAAACTGATTTTTCAGATCTATTTTAATCCACTCTCAGATCTGGTTATGAATTATCTTGGTTATCAGATGTATCTATTAGATGAACTGGGCCAAGAAAAAGACAGGCAGAGCGTGTCTCTATTGTTCCTCATGGACTTAAAAGCAGGTGGCTTTCATTGTGCATGCATTTAAAAAATAAATGGGGTTTAGATTAGCTATGCAAAATGCAATATTTTGAGAGAAGATTCCACTTGATTCGAAATTGAACCAGACTGCTAATACTGAAAACCTAAAGGTCATTTGGTTGATTTTCAAAATATTTTGTTAGAGAAAGCTGGCAAGGATTGAGATGAATGTGGTGTGAGATAACTCATCCCATAGGAAATTATCTGAATATTCTGTGCTCTTCCAGTGAGACAGAGATAAAAGACGATAACTGTGAAAAGTCATTAAACTATTCAAAGGTAGTTACAGGAAAAAAATTACATATAAAATGAACAAAAAGTGGTACAAATGTACAATATACATGACTCTAATCTATTCCCTGAAAAGCCAAAGACAATGTAAACTGAATTATTAATGGGGAGAAAATATCCCAACTGCGGAAAAATAAGTGAAATGATTGCAAATGGAGTTTTATTTATTTATTTTGTTTATGACTGTATAGATCTCTTTAGTCAACTGAATTTAAATGCAACCACCAAAACCAAAGTAACAATAATGATGTACAACAAGAAATAATTCAACATATAATTAAAGTACTGCAGTTGGCCACAATAAAAATAATAATGTTCTTGGCGTCCAGAGCTTAACAATAGTCAAGTCTTGAAGGCTTTCTGGAACAGCCTTTTAAAAGAGCATGAGAGTTGGGATTATTCTTGTCTTGAAAGGAATGGAGCCCCTACAGAGAAAGTTCACTTTTGGACACTTCCATTTGAACCTCCTGAATGGTTGGGATCTTCATCAGGCATTCTCTGTACCAACAGATTGTGTGGGCAATATCTATATGGGATGGGTAGTCTTGAAGATGCCCAGGACTTTATAGCTGATAATCAGGACCTTATACATTACATTTGGAATGTATAATAGTTAATACCGCACCTGTAGCAGCTGTGTTACTAGCAATATTGAGATTCACTGATGACCATACAATTGAACTATTGTACATAGTCCATGCAGGAGATGTCAAGGGTATGAGTGGCCAATGTCAGCAACTCTGAGAAAAATAAGGCTAAAATGGATGTACCAGCCAAAGCTGAGCAAATCTTCATGATCATGACCTTCACCTGGAACAGGAAGTGTAATTCCAAGAAGTGTGGCCTGTTCACTTCAGCAAAGCACAAAAATGTTTATATTTCCAAAATCAGCAAGCTTCTGAATAAATAAGCACTCCCAACTTTCTAGAGTTGAAATTATGTATGTTACCTCCCATCTACAGTACATCTTGATAGTCTCCACATAAATGCTTGTTTGCATCCTCTGTTCAACCCGTGGTGGAGATGTACAGTTGAATATCATCCACAGGCTGACATTGCATGACAATATTTATCTATGTTGTAGGTCATTAAGCATCAAGTTGATAAAAGGGTAAAACTTCTATGAATTAATACTGAGTTGTATCTGAGATTTCAAGATGTAGAAATTATTGAAATACTTGGAGCAATAATCACAGGACAATGAAGTTCTATCTATGTACAGTATTTATAGAATATTACCTTGATTGTCTAGAGGAGTCATCTTTAATTTTAGAAAATGCTGTTTCTAAAAATACAGAGATTTACTGTAAGAGAAGGTCAGCAGGCTATCTAATTTTCTTAGGAAGTTTGGGGGTTATTTAAATGTATGAAATGGATTGGAGGAGACATGAAATTTTCAGGAGGATGACAGCATCATTAAGTTAAATAGCAATGTAATGGAAGCCCATAAAAAGTGAGGTCATTTCTTTAACATACTTATTAAAATGAAGAAAAAAGTAAAGATAAAAACTGAGAAAATCAATTAAAGAAATAAGAACAAATTACTGACTTTTTTTCATCATCATGCACCTGAGAACAAGTTGTACAAAAAATTGTGCAGAAAAACAAGTTAAAACATGGCAGTAAGTTAATTTTAATCTGTTTCAGAGGACCAAGTCATATTGTGAAATATGGCTCCTGAAATCATAATGTTACTGGTAAAGTGATCCCTAAGGCTCAAGTTGTTGGAACACAGAAACATTTTCATTTCCTGATTGTCTCCTTGTTAGTAAGCAAACCAAAAATATTAGTCATATCGTAATGTAAGTGAATAAGAAAAAAACCCAGAGCATTATATAATGGAAAGGAAAAGATTAATAATAGTTTGAAATAAGTTGGAAACAAACTCAGAATAACAAGATATTAATTGTCCAGAAGCAGTAAGGTTGTGATCCAGATATGCCTAATTCAGAGAAAACTGGAAATGGACAAATACTTGACTTGGCTCAGAGGCATTTTGCAAGTTGACTTGCATTTTGGAGCAACCATTCCTCACTGTCAGGAAACTCCTGAAACATTTCTGTGTGAGCTTTTTATTATCTTTTTGGTTGTAAGATGAGTCACATATCTTTTCAGCTTAAGAGAGAAGGACGTAGCATTCAGTTAGCATAGGAAATGTTTGCGAGCCTGTTCTATGGCCTTTTCCATTCATTGTCCTTTTATTTTCATCACAGGAAGGAACATCTAAATTTGCAAATTTGGACAGCAATGTAAAAGAAAACCAGAAGAGAACCCAGAGGCGGCTCCAACTGCAAAAAGATATGGTAATTCTTTATTTTTCATTTTTCTCATGAGATGCTCCTCTTTGAAAAAATACAGAAACAGTCATAGCAAAGATAACTATTTTAAGATACCTAGATGCAAACAAAATGGTTACGTTCAACTTGAATTAAGTTCAAATAAAACCAGGAAATCACAAATTCTCACCATGGGAACAAGTACGTTCAACCAAATCTTGAACCTTTTTTTTTCATGGCTTTGTGAAGAAAAATACGATCAAAAGATAATAATGAACTAATACATTAGGTTACTAATGGTGGAGGAGTTTCTTAGACCAGAATTTTTGAGACACACACTTGTAATTTCTCATAGAATAATAGTTGATCCATTTTGTTTGAATAATGCCTTAGATACTTCAACAATCAGATTTGTGTGAAGAAAATTTGAAGTTGAAATTGCAGCTGAAGTAAACTTCTTCCCTTGAGTTTCATTCCTTAAATTTAACAATAATACTTTTTTACGATTTTATAAGATTTTTTCCCCCTGTTCTTTGGGGACTATTAAATGACATATTTAAATCTAGTTTGTATATTATTTTCTACTTTCAAAAAATTGCTTGTTTTCCCGTGTTACTTTTTTTTTTTATTGAAATTTTTTTAAATTTTACAAAAACAAATCCCCTTCCCATACCCCCCCCACCCTACCTCACCCCCCCCCTTCCCAACCTCCCAAACCCTCCCCTGGACTTCCCAGAGCTGAGTACAGGCTTAATTAAAAAAAAAAAAAAAAACCTTAAAACACTTTTAAAACCTAAACAAGTTTAAATACAATCATCATTCTATATAAACTCCCTCCAAAAACACAAATTTAAACATTACTTTCTTTGAATATCTATATCTATAGTGTAAAATCTAATTTCTCCCTCTTTCTTTATCCTAAAACAAAAAATAAACATATAAACCTTTGTTATACCATTAAAACTAAATACTCTTAAAAAACTTAAAGTAAATACATATTTCCTTCAATCTTCATAATCTTCTCTCCTATCCAAAAAGAAAAAAACTTAAAAAACTTATAAGTCCTAAACAAATCTAAGCACATTTAATTAAACAAATTATTTTCTCTTAAAAATATTAATAATAATATTTAAAAACTAGAAATACTTTTAAATCCTAAACAAATCTAAATACAATCATCATTCTGTATAAACTCCCTCCAAGAACACAAATTTAAACATTACTTTCTTTCCTAAACAAGTCTAAACATTTAATTAAACAAATTATTTTCTCTTAAAAATATTAATAATATTTAAAAACCAAATTTAAGCATACTTAAAACTTAAACAAGTTGTACTCCCTTCAAAACACGAATTTAAACATTACTTAAAATTTAAAACATTAGAATCCCCTCACTAAAATGAACAAATTATAATCCCTTCAAAACACAAATTTAAACAATATTATCATTAAAGATTCAAAACTTAAAACAACAAAATTCCCTTATACGCCTATCCATAATAAACACATTAAACATTTCAATCTTCACCAATAACCAATTCCATCCGTAAGAAACTGCATCCTTATCAGTCTCAATTATATTAGTATTATTAATTATTCACATTCCAGTTTTTTCCATTCTCCATTCTTCCATTTCCATTCTCCATTCTTGTATCGAACTCGTAAGAAATGCTGCAAGTTCTGCCTTAGGAGACTGCTCCAAAATTCCTGAATCTCCCATCGACTCCGAAGCCAATACAGGTAAGGGTTCCTTAAATTCCTCCTTATGTTGATCTTTACAATTGTAAGTTGTACAAGTTATCCTCTGACCATTCCTCTCTTGTTGATGCCCCTCAAACTGAGATTTCCCAATTTCCATTTCAGGCAGCAATTCCACCCTTAAAGATTGCTCCAAAGACTTTGTAGGTCTAACATCTCCCAGAGATTCAGAGACCACTGAATATGAAACTTCCTTAACCTTCTTCTGTTGCTGCTTTTTTTTGGAATTGTATGCTACACAAGTTGTCTTCTGCTCCTCAATCTGGACTTGTTGAGACCTAATAGATGGCGATACACATACCCCCAGGACCAAAGTATAAAAATCTTTTGCTTGAGAAACAGTATTAAGTCTATGACATGTCCCCAGGTAGTTCACCACCATTCCAGTCGGAACATCCCATCTGAATAGAATTTTTCTCTTTTAAAGTTCATTTGCTAGAAAAGCAAACTCCTTTCTTCTTCTTAAAATTTTAGATGGGATCTCCTTAAAAATTATAACATCTTGTGAAGCAATTTGAAATCTCTTCTTATAATAGGCTTGCACAATTTCATTGCGTAAGATCTTTTACCAAAGTAAATTACCACATCTCTTGGCAGATTCTTCTGTGCTGCCACCACAGAGTTAACCCTAAATAATTTTTCAATTTCACTAAGTATTCCCTCTTTTTCTTTATTCAAAATCAATGCAAAATCCTTTGCAACCATCTCTTTCAGATCTCCTTGCAAAGACTCTCCCAGGCCTCTAATTCTTAAGGCATATTCCATTTGTCCATATTGAAGCATAAGAATCTCATTTTCCATTTCTTTTTCCATACTTTCAATTTTCCCCTCCATTATGTCCACTTTTTCAGCTACCTCTTCCACATGGGAGTTCACCTTTTCAAGAACAGAAGCAACTCCTTCTAAAGCCAAAACAAAATCTTGTCTCAAGATCTTATTATTTTCCTCTAAAATCTTTTTCATTTCTGCCCTAATTTGAATTATAACATCTCCCATCATGTCTTGCAAATCCTTCATAGTTATTAGCTGACCCCCGGAAGAGGGTGAAACTGTTGATTTAGAAGCTGTAGAAATCCCTGGACGCTTTGGAGCCATCTTAAAAAAAAACCTTTAGTCCTTCTTAAAAAATTATAAAAATTCCTTCAAAAATCATAACTCCCTCCAAAGAAGGTCATTATAATAAAAAGAAAAAAGGGGGAAAAAAAGGAAGAGAAAAAGAATTAAAAAAAAGCTTTAATCCTTCTTAAAAATTGCAAAAAATTAAACAGAAAAAAGTCCTTCAAAAAAGGATCATTACAATAAAAAGAAGGGAGTTCAAAAAAAAAGGGGGGGGGAATTAAATAGAAAAAGTCCGTTCCCAAAAAAAATACTTAGAGATACCAAAAACAACCATTCCAATCATAAGAAAATAAAAAGGGAAAGGGAAAGAAAAGAAAGAGAAACACCAAAAAGCCTGCCGGTCAGCATAGATTTGCCGATCACCATTTTACTTTCCCTTTCAACAAAGAAAGAAAAATAAAAAAAGAGAATAAAAATAGAAGCAAGTCTTAAAACTTAAAATCCAAATAAATCAAAGAAAGCAAAAACTAAATCCTCTACTCAGCTCTGTCCGTTTATAAAAAAACTCACCAGTTCTCTTTAAGCACGGAGGTGTTTGCAGCGGCTCGTTTTGTCCCTGAGGACAAAAACAGCTGGGAAGCGGAGACAAGTCTGAACTCCGTGGGAGCACTCCTTTCACTCCCCCCAAAAAAACTTGGGGGGTGCAAAAGAGGCTCTACCACTATTCAGACACTCTCTACCCCCTCCCTTTGCCCGGGAGGGGGATTTTGAACCGCTGAACAGCTGATGTCTGCTGTTCATAGCGGTTCTTACACTTACCCAGGAGAGACGGCTACAAAGTAGCCGCCATCGCGCGCGCAAAATCCACCGGAAGTCTTCCCGTGTTACTTTTATAAAACATTCTAAAAACAATTTAGAACGAGAAGACTTATTACAATTGCAATAATACATTACCAATTTGATTGTCATTTTTTCTTCCCCTATAAAAATAAGGTGACATAATTTTACAAGTGGCAAGCCATTTTATTTTTATGTATATACTATTCCCCCAAAGCAAATGACTTACAATAACAAACAATGTACTGTATAAGGGAAATAATATGCTGATATAAAGTATAAGGAGAAAGAAACAAGGAGAGGAGAAAAATAAAAAAGTTTCTTAATGAAATAGTGTGAGTAGCCTCAATAAATCTCTCAGGAGAGGCCATTCCACAATATTGTGTTCTATTGAAATAACTTCATTCATTTCCTGTTGGATCACATTTGATGGATGAATAGTTCTTACAGCTTAGCTCAACCAGCCAAAAAAGCAGCCACTGCTAGGCCAGAATCTGATTGCTCCTTCACGATAGACGGGTCGACATGGAAAAGTTCATGAATAAATAAATATACATAGTATAGTGTAGATAGAACTTAGTATAGATATCTGGACTATAGAGGGCTAAAGATCACTGAACCTCAGAGGAGTTTGAACTGGATCCAAAGTCAAAAAGCACTTAATGAATCAGAGCTAGGATGGTTAATCTCTTTGTGCTTTCATCCTGCACAGGGTGTAATGCAAGGCACCGTTCCTTATCTTGGTACTTTCTTAACGGATTTGACAATGCTTGATACAGCTCTCCAGGACTATGTGGAGGTAGGTTTGTAACACACACTCATGCATACTGTTAATAGTTTTGCCTTCAGTATATATTTGTAAAGCATCAACTCACTAGGCACAGACCAAACACAGGACTTTAATTAGGAAATGGAACAGTTATAAAACTGAGTTTACATTATTAGAATTCTCCCAATTTAAATTCTATGCCTTGAATTAGTAGTTTTGCACTGGTTTGTTCCCCTGGTAAAATGTGATCTATATGTTTAGGCTAACATTAGCAGAATTTCTTTACAAATTCCACATTTTCTTTGGAATAAGGTATATTTCGATTGTAATGTATGAAAGTACCAATCTCTTGATGAGGGACTTTTTTGTAGAACAGTGGTTCTCAACCTGTGGGTCGGGACCCCATTTGGGGTCAAATGACCATTTCACGGGGGTCGCCAAACCATGCTGTCCGCCATTTTTTTCCCTTTTCCCTAGCTGTCCTACTCCCTCTTATTGGTGGCCACACCCACTTGAGGGTCACCACAACATGGGGAACTGTATTATGGGGTCACGGCATTAGAAAGGTTGAGAATCACTGTTGTAGAAGAAAGAGTAACTATGTCTTCGTTCAATGGGAGACATTCAGAAAAAACACTTTTAACAAATAACATGCATAGGTAATTAATTGTGTCTGAAATAATCACTACGTTTTTTCAAATGTGTTCATTAGCAGAATGATATAAAATGTCATTCAAGCTATGAGCAGAAGAGACACACAAAAAGAGAAATTGGAAAGATGTTTCCATAAAATATTAAATAAGCATTGTGGAAGCAAGGAAATAAGTCATATGCCACATGAGGGATTTTTTTTGTAAAGTTTTATATTTATGGTATCTCAAGATTTTATAGATTACGAAGATATGCTGAAATGTCCTAATGCGGGAGTCTTCAAATTTGACCCTTTTATGACTTGTGGACTTCAACTCCCAAAATTCCTCAGCCAGGCATGCTGGCTGAGAAATTCTGGGAGTTGAAGTCCACATAAAAGGGCCAAGTTTGAAGACCTCTGTTGTAATGCATTAGGTTAGAGCTATCATCAGGAGCTGCTACTATGTTGGTGTGTCAAAAATTTCTGTTGATATTTTTGAATATAGTTCATAAGTGATGGACTGATCAGTTTGATTATTAAGTAGATTTACTAGGAATTATAACTAATAAATGAATTTTAAAATATGATGGTAGAGGACCCAAAAGGGTAAATACATGAACATTTGGAAACACTCAGCTTACTTTTTTTTGAAAGAACTGGATTGGTTCTGTTCAGTTTTTAATTCCGTTCTAGATCTTAACTGCAGCCTTTATCAACCAGATGCCCTTTAGCATCATGGCTGGTTTTGTATCTCCTGCAGAGTGAAACTGTATATGGGCTATGATTGTTCCATTGTGTTTGGATAAATTATGTTGTTTTTAGTTATGCTTTTAGTTTTTCATTTCATTCCTGTTTAGAGGTCTGACTATGAGGTTCAAATCAGACATAAGGGACTAAGGAATTTTTGAGGACACCAAGTTATGGAAGGCTGTCTTAGTGCTTACCTAGAAGCCCAGAATACTGTAGCTTATTCCATATCTTTCTTCAGAAACATTCACTTCTGCATCAGTCCAGCCCAATGCTGTGGTTATATTCTTCTTTTGGAACTATCTCAAGGGCTTTACTGGGTACTGAGGCCACCAGCTTTGAGAAAACAGCAGAACTCATTGCTACTGTTCCAGGCTTTGAAGAAGCATAACAGATCTTGTTTTATTCATGCTTTTAACTGTGTTTTAATGTTTGTGATTTTACTGGCTGATGGCACCACTCAAGAACATCCTCTCTATTTAATCAATTCAGTAAAAAATGGCAAAGAAGTTTGGGATCCAGTTTTTATGACAGTCCCCACAGGATAGCAGCAGGATTGCTGAATGCTCATTGCTTTCATGGGGAAATACACTTTGTAAGAATGTAAGGACCCACCCCACTTTGCATCTTAAGAAGACAGAACTCTTGGAATAATTCTTCCAACAGGAATCCTTTATTAAGAAGAAGTGGTTGCAGGCGTGCTAGACAGGACTTGGGGTCCAAGCTCTCCCATTCAAGGTTTTAAGGGGTTCCCCAGTAGTCCCACCCAATCACCCCCCCTTCCAGTGATAGTTTCAGGCATCACAATTCCACCCCTTTATTCCTTTCTTCCGTCTGGATGGAGACTTCAGATAAACTACATGAAAGGTAAATAGCCCCCTTTGTTATGGTAAGGTTCTTTGGTGCTAACTACATTCAAACATTCTTTGAGGTTGCAATAAACACATTCAGTTCCTTAGAAGTATACTGAAGGAAGTGAGGGCCATAAAGCCCCTTTGTTCTCTCCCTTCTCTCCCTCTTATGGCAGAATCCAGAGAAGGCAGAATTGGGGTTTTCTATGTTTGATAATTAAAGATGAAATATAATTGGATTCTGACAAAGAATCTGCTGTTTCAATAGATCAGGAATAGAGACCTACACTTGGGTGGCCAAGTAGATCAATTTTAATCACACAAGTGGGCAGAATTTTTGTTGTTCCTGGGCTCGAGTATATATTTTGGAGGTACAATGATTCTTCCTCTTCTTCTTCCTTCTCCTTCTTCTCTTCCACTGTTAAATTGATTAAGGATTTGCTACTACAGTTTGCATGTGCCTCCCAGCTCAATAGGTGGTGAAATAATGCTTTATAATAGTTCTGGACAGAAGGGACCTTGAGGCTGTAGAAAAGGGGATTTGTAACTCCATGGTTCAAGATATCCATACTTGCACTTGAGCAAGCTTTGCAACTTGTATACATTTGTAACTTGTGTAAATTGTGCCGCATAAAAAACTACAAACCCAAAACTAACTAATGTCTTCAAGTCAAAATTGTTCCCCCCAAATTCCCAGATCATCTGTGGGAAGGGAAGGATACCTGCAGCTGTAAAGAAAGCAGCTGGTTCAGGCTAATAGGCGTGTACATCAGCACTAGCATAATTAAATTATTAAAGTGTGAATGTATACATGTTTTCAAATTATTTAAGCGAGTTTGGCAGAGAGGTCACGATTGATTGCAGAGTGAGGTTTAAAAGCATCTTCATGGAATCAGTCTTGAAAGTGTTGGCCTTTTGGAAAATTTATTCCTTTGTAACCATTTTATTATCTCCATTAAAAATGCAGTTTTTGTAACTATACAATACATTTCTTTATTTTATTTTTATTCTTTTCGCAGGGAGGGCTAATAAATTTTGAGAAGAGAAGGCGGGTAAGCTTGCATTTTATTTCCACCATTCAGTCACATTTTAATGATCCCCAAAAACCTGAGGATTGATTTCTTGTTTTTAGAGAGAAACAGGAGACAGTATAGCTACAGAGCTTAACATTTTCAACCAGAATTGTAAAGCATATCCTAGGAGAAACAGACTATTGGAGTATTAAATATGATTCCTCTCAACTAAAATTTGACCAATTTGTCCTTTTCTTCATCCGGTTGGCTGCACAATTTGCCTTCACATAATATTGTATGTTGAGCACATCAGCTTAGATGCAGGAATGTTTCAAGATTACTTTTTGTAGGATTCTCCATAGCTTATCCCCAGAATATTGTGCTGTCACCTGAAATCTCACAAGACTTTCACATTCTCTCTGAAATCTCACAGAATCTTTAGCGAGAAATCCAAACCTTGTAAAAAAAATTACTCTTACGTAAGATTTCACCCATTCATTTTTTTAAAAAAGATGAAGATGGATAGATACCATCTAGGTAGGAAATTGCATGTTGTCATCACTGTAATTATGATAACCAATGTAAACATATTTTCAATCAATCTATCTAGGATATACCATTCATTTAAAATATAGATTTTAGAAAAATAAACTCGGTTTATTATAAAAACATTATGGGCAGTCACATGGATTCAAGTTTTTTTTTTTTAAAAAAAAAGATCAGTGTAGGGTTAACAGATTATGAAGGTTTTAATAGTCAATGAAAAATGTTAGAACATGTTTTTGCCCTTATGAAACTCCTCTAAAATGTAGCAGGGCATTGCCTCTGCTACTTCTTGCTGGCCTGTAGTAGATGAAAGGTAACACAAGTTCTTAGGCTTTCTGTGGCTGGATTGGCATTGGGCACAATCTGTCCTGCAAATCCAGAGATTTGTTGTGCAGAGCTAATAAGGAGGAGGCAAATAGGCTTTCTTTGCCTCTGGAAGGTAGAGATAATGGCTCTTTTTGCATCCAGCAAGTACAGAGTTAAAACCCATGATTACGCCCATATTGAAAATCATTTCTCCCTCTCTTTAACACAAGTATTAAGAGGGAGCTAGAGGCTTAGTACACTTGCAAAAGCTTGCCAGGTCTCCTGTTGTGGTATGTGGGCAAGTCTGTTTTGATTCCTGTGTGCTCCACCATTCACCCAACCTTCTAGACCAGGGGTAGGCAACCTTGGCTCTTTTATGACTCGTGGACTTCAAGTCCCAGAACCCCTGAGGAATTCTGGGAGTTGAAGTCCACGAGTCATAAAAGAGCCAAGGTTGCCTACCCCTGGTCTAGACCATCAAGCAAGGAACATCCTTTAGATTCATTAATTCATCTAAAAGTATAGAGGCTTTGCAGTGAGATTGCTACATGCATAAAGATGGAAAGATTTGAGACTACTCACCATGGAGGAATGGATGCAGATGATAGAACTTGCTGAGATGGACAAATTGACTTCTTTGATCAGAGAAAAGACATTATGTGTATTGGAACTGGACTGGAAAGCCCTCATAGATTTTTTGTATAAAACAGGATTTATACTTTTGATGTTTAGGAGGAAAAAAGACTATAGAAAAAATAAGACTTATGCTGTAACCATTGATTAAGAGATAAATTTATACTTATAACTGCTGTAAAGAAAATCAAACACAATTTTTTATACTTTCTGTCTTCTTTCTGCATTTGTGGCTTTGTCTTTCTTTCTTTTTTCTATATTAGTTTTGTAAGTTTTAAAAATTTTAATCAAATTATTTTTTTTTAAAAAGAAAGCACAGATGCTTAGTGCCATTCAGAACCATATTATATTATGCTTGTCAGTGAACTTGTCATGAGTTTTTCAACATCTCCAATTATCCCACGTCCTTCTGCTGCAATTGACTATGAGACAATCCATATTGACTGTGAGACAATCCAATTCCATTTTCCTCATTCAGATTCCCCCTCTTGTTCCATTATTTTTTCAGGAATTTGAAGTAATTGCTCAGATTAAACTCCTACAGTCTTCCTGTAATAGCTACTGCATGATGTCAAACAAAAAATTCATCCAGTGGTTCCAGAAACAGCGACAATTAACAGAGGAAGAAAGGTAAGATAAAATTTTGATTTGTAACAGGCAGAATTTTTTTTTTTGCATAATCCAGCTCTTTCCTTATTTCTCCCATCATCTGAGATAAAATAACAAAACTGTATTTTAAAATTATTGTGGAAAACACAAGACATTCAAGCAGCTTGGAAATGTATACAAGAAACGCACATGCTGCCTTCATAGAGAGGGATAAGTATGATCCTGTACTTGTGTGCAATGCATATAAATATGCGTGCGCACGCGCACACACACACACACACACACACACACACACACACACAGCAAAACTTTGATTACTTTGCTTGGACTGCCACCTTAAGTTTTTGGATCAAACCTGGAGAAGTTTAGAGTTCATCACATCATTAAGCAGTGAAGAATTCCAGGTGCAGTCTTAGAGAAGCTAATTCTAACTTGGGTGACGCTACCTGGGAACCTTGTAGCAATGTTATTATGAATTTAATATCCGAACATACTATAAACAATGCTGCAGGAAGCAGGAAACCAATCACCTACAAGATAGTATCCTTTGTTCCCTGTAAGATGTTGTTCTTAGCTTTATCTTTCTCCTAAGTCATTTTTGCTGCTCACCCAAGATCTGATAATTTCACCACCTAAAGCAGTCTGCCTTGATCGTTTTATCCCAGAGGAAGCTTTGAAATAATTTTTAGGTTTGGGAGAACCTCTACATAAAAATGATTATTTTGACAGTTATTTTTTTCCAAAAAATGCTAACATGTCACAAGACAATGAACTTTTAGTCTATCCAACCCATGTTTTGTAATGTTTACCATAACAGAAAAATGGCTGGCCAACAATTGAGTCATGGCACATAAAAGTTCCCACCACTGCAAGTGCTAATATTGTATAGAGCATAAAATTTAAAAATGCTATTTTTTTCAATCATGATCTCACACAGAACCTTAGTTGAGAAAGGCTGAGCTAAAGGTTTATTTTAAACCTTCTAGACTCTTCAGCATTCTTTTGTTAAAACTGAAATAATCAATCAAGGTTGTGTCTGTTAATAATTTCTGACTTTCGGCTTCTCCAAAAATAACCAGCCAGCATTCACAGCAATATGCAGCTATATATAACACATGAAGTTGTCTTTTTATATCAACTTCCTTTTCCAGTGACATTTTGAGTTTCACTAAGCAGGTGCAAAGCTTGTTTTTCTCTTTTCCTGATATTATCTTGTTTGGATTTTAATTGTGAGCATAAAAGGTTAAACTTCAGTATGCAGTATACATTTTATGGATTTTGTTTACAGACCTAACCCATTACAGAAAAGCCAACTGTGTACATGTCTTTGCTTCTGTGCACTGATGGTTCTCCCTCTTCTTAGTTCATGTTTAGAATATAAGGCCAGGGGTACATGTTACTTGAACATTTATTTGTTCCCACTCAGTTCTGGTACTCAGAATTTCATCTGCTCACGGGGTTAGAATACATTATATTAGAATATAGAATATATTGCATATACCTTGAAAACAATCCATCTTGGGTCATAGAGAAATGGGAGTGAGGAAGAAGAATAAAACCAAGAAGTATCCTAGTTTCTATATAACACAAAATATATCTTTGAAAGGAAGAAAACTGCAGTTATACTCAAAACCTATTGAATAACTTGTCTTTCAGTCTTGGCAATTTTAATACATGCTTGCTAAGGAATTCTGGGAGTTGAATATGTCTTCAAGTTGCCAGGGTTGAGAAAAACTGGAATAACTCCTAGTAACATAGCTACTTAATTTGAAGTAATGTCTATATTAGATATAAAGCCTTGTTCCAAAGTAAAAAACAAACAAACTCTAGATGTGGATTTAATTCAGTGATTTAATTTTATGGCAACAGTATTTTATATAGTTCTAATCAGAAGGTGGTCTCTAATCTTCCAGCTATGCCCTTTCCTGTGAGGTTGAAGCAGCCATTGACACAACCACCACGTCCCCCAAACCGCGGAAGAGCATGGTGAAACGACTGAGCCTGTGAGTTTGAGTAGGGGTGAAGGTTGGGAGCCACTCGGCCTGAAAAGTTGAGGGTTGTTCCCAAGAGAGAATATCTGCTCTCCCAGTTCATGGGACAACTTTGAAATCATACGCAAAACCCCCATTTATACCTGTGTAAATGAACTCCCACATTATTACTGCGGATCCTTGCTGAAAACGAAGGTGTTTGGAAGCATAGACATTTCAAAAGCTTCCTCCCTTGTTTTAGAGGCAGGTAAACAATTCATCCTATTTAAAATATAGGATATCTCTCTAAGCCTCAGAAGGGCTTATATCATGATACCCAAATGAAATTCACTGGCAAGTTATACTGCTCTAATCAGCTTCATTCTTCTATATCCAAGGGAATTAATAGTATAACTTCAAGAGTCATTAACTGAGGCAAACTATTTTTCACAGATTTAAACAAAGAAAAATGAGTGCGTATAATCAAACACTCTGCTAGAGTCTCCCTTACCTGCAATAAAGGCATAAATAATGCTTCCTTGACTATATATATATATCGCATAAAATTGGAAGTGTCTTGGCGATGTTTCGACGAAGTCCCATTTGTCATCTTCAGGCTGGTGCTTTCGGCTTCGCGCTTCTAGGAGCAGTGTGTGAGCGTAGCTGTTTCTTCCCTTTAACTGCCCGTGGGGGTATGAACTCATTGGGCAGGCAGTTAAAGGGAAGAAACAGCTACGATCACACGCTGCTCCTAGAAGCGCGAAGCCGAAAGCACCAGCCTGAAGATGACGAATGGGACTTCGTCGAAATGTCGCCAAGACACTTCCAATTTTATGCGGGAGAAAACCCGAATAACCAAAGATCTACATACAAACACCTGCGAAAACCTCAGAAAACATATATATATATATATATCCATATAGAGTTGTCCAAGCCAGCATGTAATTTTATTTAAAGGAATATATCCCAATCTCACTTCACTGTCATTGTTAGATGTTGAAGCAAAATGCCTTTTTTCTTTTCCCACCCCACCCACCCTATATTAACAATAAACAATCTGCCTTGCAATCTTCCTCACGGGAATTTAAATCAAATGTTGCAAATGAAAAATAATTTGAGAGGAGCCTCGATGCTATTTAGAATAACAAAGTTAATCTATATTAGAAAATTGATACAAGGTATATGTGGTTTTAATGAATTACTATAATTAAATAAACATAGAAAAAACTCAGAACTGCAACCACTGCACATATTTATTCATAATTCCCAAGGAAATTGATATAGCTATATAACTTTCATCAACTAGGGCTGCGATAATATATTGACTCCCCTGAACATAATTAGATACTCACCACCTGCTTTTTATTTTCTCAAGAATACAGAATAGGCACTCCCTTCTTATGACCCATCAAGACTCCCACTTTCTTTCAAGAGCACAGTAAAACTCCAACATTTCCTACCTACTGGGAACTATAAATAAAGAAGAAGGTTGTCTAGCACTTTAATAAGCCTCAGGCAGAGAGTATCTTTCCTGGGTATGCAATAAATTCACATCTCTTACAACTATTCCCTGAGTTTCATGTCTGTTATCTATCTTCTCTGAAGTTACCAAGAATGTGGTTACAAGGAATAACATTGCAGGCTTATTAAAAAAAAAAAATCTGCACTTCCGATCTAGTTGTCTTGCTTTCTGTGCAATGTCTCTACCAACACTTTGCCCTCTTTCATTTGTCACTTTGTCGTCTTGAGACAGATTATTTCTGGGACCTGATGTGATTGCTAATAGCACGCCCACCAAAGAGCAGCCCAAGTCCGTACCAAGCGGGAGTTCCGGGGAAAGCATGGATTCGGTCAGCGTATCTTCCTGCGAGTCAAACCATTCCGAATCGGAGGATATCTGCCTCACTCCTACGGATACCCCTGATGAGGCCCAAAAGAAAGTATGAGCCACAAAGAGCACAATTTATTTCCAGGAGGAGCTATTGGGATTAGAGTAGGGATCTTAAACTCTTTACCATCACACCTCCCTTTAGTGTAATCTTAAGGTAGCTATCTCCCTTAAAAATCCAAACACCAAAATGAAAACAATACAATGAAACTTTAGGAAATGTTCATTTATTGTAACAATATGCAACTAAAAAGTTCTTCATACCTCTCTTGAACTCTGTCTGCATCTCCCCAAGGGGAGAGGGTACATCTCCAAGTTTGAAAAACCATGGATTAGTGTCTATCTGAAAATACTAACTGTGATGCAGAAACTTTTTTACCTCACTCGCTTCCCAGTGTAATCATGGGATGTTCCTCTGAAACTCATTTCCAATTTTTAACTCTTGGGCATTATGAAAAGGGGATTCAGATCCTCATGGGAAGTGAATGGAACACCCCCACTGCATTAGCCATCATGCCCAAGGGGTTAATAGCCGTTGGATGGTTTTCATTTGTTGAATTGGTGATACTTTCTGCAGTAGGAGAAAGCCACCAAGCAATGAAAGTGCTTGGTGACTTTGTCAACTGATTTACCGGGGGGGGGGGCAATTTATCCTCAATATGAATCTGAAAGCATTTTGTCTCCATCCATCTCATCTCTCTGTAGAATCAAAGTGAGCAACCTGTGAACCTCCAGATATTGCTGAATTGTAATTCACAGAATCTCTCATCATTTTGAGTGTATTTTAGTATAATTATATAGAGAGTTAAAAGTTTCCCCACCCCTGGATCAAGTTCCCCCATCTCAGGAATCAAGCTCCCTGAGATAAGAACAACAGTGGAGTGCTTTGGTGCTCTCTGAGCTTGGTTATTGTTGTTTTTTGTTTGTCCACCTAGATAACATCATCCCTACTAGTGAGTGTATGGGTTTGCTGCCTGTTTATAGTAGCTTGCCCTGCCAGCATTCATATGGGTATGTGATTTACTCCTTGGTAGTACCTTGAATACGGTATTGGGTTTTTTTTCCTAGATTGTTTGTCAGGTGTTAATCCTTGCTTATCTGGGTGTTGATTGCTGGAGAGGATGTGTTCTGGTCTTTTTGTTTCCTTCTTAGCCTTTTTATTGTCTTTAGATTGGTGTGTACATGTGATTTATCTCTATGTGTCTGTTGTTGAGTCTGTTGATGGCTGATTCATGTCTTCAAACAAACAATTAAGCTCAGAGAGCATCAAGGACTCCACAGTTCAACCCTGAGATTCATATATACTCTTTGATTGAAACAAAAACAAACGGTGATCTTGGAAGAAAAATAACATTTCTATGTTGAATAAAACCCTTAAAAACTTTATAAAGGGCCCTCCTACTCTACAGGGGAGAGAACATCAGTTTAAAAAACTGCAAAAGCAAGAATTTTCTAAGATTGTGGATATAGCTGTAGCTATACAATAAGCTAAGAAAAAATTGTAGATTCTGCCATCTGCTGGTCAGTTGTACATTCAGGAAATACAATTTGTTTGAACACACCTTACGCTATAAATACTTCTTCTCTCTCAGATTATTTAATACTATATGCAAAGAAATAAAAAGCTCAAAAGAGCATGTCTGTCTTAACTTGGACTATTCTTCAATTCTGCCAGTGGTACAATTCAATATACGCTCCTTCAGTGGAACTTGCTTTAAGCATATGTGTATCAGATTGCTACTTCCAAGAGAGTAGAAAATTCTAATTACATCTACAAAGGATTGGCAGGATATCAATTTATAGTGGAGGCAAACTTGTACTGGAAGTATTGGAACCTCTTTATCTGCAGGTGGTGCTGTGAAAATGACCCTAAAGTTTAGCTACCATCTTCTTTTAAAAAATCCTCAGTTTAGAAACTACCGTAAATCAAATGAATATTTTGATTTGTCTTTTATGACTTCACTCCTTAGCTCACAGAGTCCTCCTCCTCTTGTTCCTCCATCCACTCCATGGACACATCTTCATCAGGAGTATCATCCTTCACCAATGTCCTTGTGTCTCCTCCTTCACTGGCCAGCAACCCCAGAATCCACAAACGCTCCATTTCTGTCACCTCCATTACCTCAACAGTCTCCTCTCCTGTTTACAACCAACAGAACGAAGATACCTGTATCATCCGTATCAGTGTTGAAGACAATAATGGCAACATGTATAAGAGCATTATGGTATGTCATGAGGACTGTGCTAATTTATAAAGGGCTGAATCACTGAGATACCTCAATCTGAGGATGAACTCAGATCCCGAATCATTCATGCAAAAATTCACAAATTCACTTCCTGTTATCTCCCACAGAGGAGTCCTGTCAAGAATCCTAAAGCTCTTCTACCAATCACTGTAACAATTTCTGACATGCTGAATAACTTTGGGGGTTTTTTACATGCATTTCTTCCATGGCTCTTCAAAGCAAATTGTAGGGCATTTTAAAATGTAATTTTTTTATCTTTTTGGTCCATTGCTTAAGCATACAATTACAAGTACCTATGAAAGAAAAGATACTTTGTGTAAGACTTGTTGGAAAGATGATTTGTGTAAGAATTGGAAGAGGCTATAGGTTTTTAGTCCAATAACCAACCAATCAACATTAGATAATCTACTACATGGAACTGTCAAAAGCCAGACACTGAGAAATACAGAACCAGAAATAGCTAATTTAGTTTTTTCTCTAGTCTGGTCTCTTTATTAGCGATGCTATCTGAGAATTCTGGGAATTATAACAATATATCTGAAGAACATTGGATCTGGGAAATTAACCTCATAATATGTTTTATGTAACTGTGTGTGTATAAGCTATGTATTACATGACAAAAATGGCAAAACATATCAGTTAAAATAGTATTTCCCATTATTCATCCTGAGATTACTGCACCATCATTTTTTGCACCACTTCTGTGTAAGATGATTGTACCAGCTATCCAAATCACAATTCTGCAAATTTATGTGTATGCCTAAAGATAATTTGCACTGAATTAGCACAAAGAGATGGGAAGACAAAGGAGTCTTGTATGCTGTATTGATTTACAGTTTCTGCCTTCTTTCAAGCAAGGTTTTGACTTACATGGAATTGAAGTTGAATCAAGAACATATAGGACCTACTGGAATTTCTCCTTTTTAAATATTTGTCTCTACAGGGAATTTGTTTTTAATATCAAATCTCTTTAAACAATAACAGAGCATTCTAATTAGGAGTTATTGAGCAAAATAGAGAGTCTTCACTCTTGGTTATAAAAGCAATATAGCAGTGTATATTGTATATTGTATAGCAGTATATTTCCCTTTTTTGTTGCAATCTCCACTGGTTTGTGCAAATAGCTTTTCTACTGGTGCAGAATGCAGACATACTAAGACAACCAAAAGTGTAAGATGGGATCTCTCTTTCTTTCTTTTTGACTGAGTGGAGGTGCTGATCGGTTTTTGGAAAACAACAATAACAACACATATTGCGTTTCTTTTTATCAAGCTGTTTGAATCAACACATTTTTTTTTCCAGATTGAACTGTTTGCAGCTAATTTAAGAAAGAGATTTCTCCAGTGTGTGTAAAAGACAGCTTCCCCTCAGTGCATCAATACCAATGTCTCAGGGTACAGAGCCACATATTGATTAAACATCCCTAGAAAAGTACATAAATAAGCCAAATAATTCAAACATTTAATTAAAACTAGTTAATTATTGCTTCCAGAGCAAAAGGGTAAGCTTTCCCCAGATTTTAGATGTGATTTTCTTTCTTTTTTTCCTGGATTAAAATTGGAGGCATATATTTTTCGCAGAACAAGGACCAGATGAATTTCTTCCCACCATCTGTTGTCCCTCTTCATTCAGTAATACAGTGGAAACCTTTAGGTAATGCTTCTGGGAGATTCTGAAATTCTTCCCTTGTTTTTCCCTGTTCAATGTCAGGTCCCATAATAATAAGAGCAATGTTACAGAGCAATAAAATAGCTTAATTTTTCCACAACTACTTCTGTTCCTCTCACATCATATGGTTTGGTATGTAACTCACAGCAACATTAAGACTGTACTCTACTGTAAATACTAGCTCAAGGGAGGGGGGGAACCCTTTAACGTATAACCTAAACCAGACATATCAAACTCGCGACGTCATGTGACATTGCGTGATGTATCGGGACTATTTTGCCATTGCCGGCAATGGAGTGGCCGTGGCTTCCACGTGATGCGTCCGGCCCATGGGCGGCAGTTTGACACCCCTGACCTAAACTGCAGAAACAATTGTTTCTGTCAGCCAACTTTATGTAGCATTCTTATTTGATGAGTCCATTCAAAATAAGGTAGCTCGGGGCACTAAGACTAGGCAATCAAAACATAAAGCCTGTCTGGAATCCAGATGTGGAGAAGAGGAAGGCCTCATTGCAGTCTGTTCTTTCCTTCTAGTTAACTAGCCAAGACAAGACTCCTGCTGTCATCCAGCGAGCCATGTTGAAACACAACTTGGAATCAGATCCTGCTGAGGATTACGAACTCGTGCAGGTCATTTCTGATGACAAAGGTAAGAAAAACAAGACTTTTGTTTGTTGCTTAGGAAACCAGACATTTTTTTTTCTGAAGGCAATGGGCTCAAGCCACGTCTCTTGGGTGTTTTAATTTGCAAGTGTACCTGAAATTAATCCATTCTATCAGATCTGAACTTTAACATCTGAAAGAAATATGCAGTGGTGGGGACGGGCTGAATTTTTTTAAACACAAAGCTCAAGGGCACATACAGAATGCCTCGCCTATATGGGTAGTCCTCGACTTATGACAACAACTGAGCCCAAAATTTATGTTGCTAAGTGAGACATTTAAGTGAGTTTTGCCCCATTTTACAACTTTTCTTGATACAGTTGTTAAGTGAAACTGGCTTCCCCATTGATTTTGCTTGTCAGAAGGTGGGAAAAGGTGATCACATGACCTGGGGACACTGCAACGATTGTAGGTGTGGAAAATGGTCCTGTCACTTTTTTCATTGTGCTGTTGTAACTTCAAACAGTCACTAAATGAATTGTAAGTTGAGGACTACCTGTATTAACAACTCTTTGTCTCCTCCATTTTGGAACTCTCCATCTTTTGCAATTTTATAGTGTTGTTTTTATATTTTAATCTTAAATTATTGCATTTTTAATATTTTTATTGATCAAATTGTACATTGCCCAGGACTAGGGTTGTTAAGAATCACATTTTTCATGCTTTCAATTATCTTTGGAGTATCCAGCTTTCTTCAGCATTCATTCTCAATCAAGAATGACAGCATCTCACATAGGCATCGTTGTAATAAATGGCTTAACAAACAGTTTCTTACAAGTATTTAGGTCAGGGGTAGTCAACCTTGGCTCTTTTATGACTTGTGGACTTCAACTCACAGAATTCCTGAGCCAGCCATGCTGGCTCAGGAATTCTGGGAGTTGAAGTCCACGAGTCATAAAAAAGCCAAGGTTGACTACCCCTGATTTAGGTTTACTAAATATCATTGAGCTGCCATCACAAACCACCCCTTCTATCCCTAATTGGGAAAAAGCCATTAGTTGAATAGCCAAGCCTTTTGTGCTGGACTTGCATACTAGTTTTGCTTACACATGTGTAATAGTATTTTTTTTTAAAAAAAAAAAGTCTTAACTTTACCTTTTTGAAATGAAACAGGTGGCTCGCCCTGTCCATATTAAAATAATGAAGGACTTTTATCGGCTTACCTGAGCTCATTAAAATGGAGTGTAACTTGAGAGACCTAGCTAATATGAGAATAGCCATCAATTGCCCTGTCCATCTGATGATCAAGGTGTGCGCTGTGTTTTAGTTAGTAACAGTGCACTTCCTTGTGGTTCCAGGGAGACCCTTTTTTTGTACAAAATATCTTGACAGAAGTCAAGGTACTATCCTGTATGAATTGTGTTTCATTTTCCCTTGATAGTCATGATAATTCTCTTCTCTTCTCGGACCTTCTCCATTCCCATTGCTGTCTCTTTGAAAAAGAAAGGAAACCTTTGGGAACTGTATTGCTTTATCTTCCTGCTGTTTCCTTAGCTTTTGCTTCTGTGCACCCCTGTACATTTGTGCTTATTAGTATTGCTAACTGGAGTCATTATTTTCAACTTGGCCTAGGTGACTCTTCTCAATCTGCACTTTCCTTTTTAATTCATCAGAATAGCAGGTTTATTCAAACCTCAGAAATTAGGGGGAAAAGGTACCAGCATGTGCTGATCTGCAGTCATATTCAGTCAACCATGTTTTATGGTTTTTAGTTTAGTGAATCCCAGCCAATTTAGTTAACAAATCATAGTTAAACAAATCATGGCTTAGTTTAACAAGGGAACCCTGCCATTTGGTCATTTTTGTTGAGTGCAGCTAAAATGGTTGAAGAAATACAACACTTGTATATGTGTGGCCCATGGGGAGATCTAAGGTGGATGTAGATAAAAAGAGAATGGCTATTCTTTAGGGAAGCTCCTGATAATATGCCAAAGTCATTCAGTGGAAGAGACAGAACAAGTCTTTTATTCATCCTATCACACAGTGGTACATGTGATTTATGTGTCCTTGGGTATCCCTCCTCCTTTACACTGTCTTCACCAACTGCTCCTTCCAAAATTGAAAGCTGTTACTCCTCATGAACCTCTTTTCAAAAAACTCACTTGAGAAATCAGTGGCTGTTAAGTGTATAATATTGCATGTTCTCACTGCTTATTTTGATTGTTGGGTTTTGTCCCCTTCCCCCCACACACTTCAACCTCCCCACCCTTTTTGTATGTTTGTTGAAGATTTGTGTATTTCTTGGCAAATGAGTTAGGGTAGTCAAAAATTAGGAAATTTAAACTTCTGGAGATTAAATAAAATAAAAGAGAGGAGAAACTCACTAAATACAATACCTTTGGAAAGGAACAGTTTGTCTATATCAGGGGTGTCAAACTGCCGGTCCGCAGGTTGGTTGTATCATGAGGAGGCCATGCCCATCCCAGCTCCTGCAATGCGAAACAAGTCATGATACATCACAACATGTCACGTGACGCAGCGAATTTGACACCCGTGGTCTATATGTTATAGCGCTTCTCCAAGATATTCATGTGATGCATATTGAGATAAAAGATAGATAGATAGATAGATAGATAGATAGATAGATAGATAGATAGATAGATAGATAGATAGGATAGAGAGAGAGAAAGAGAGAGAGAGAGATGAAATGAATATTTCCCTTTTATATGCACTGAGATGATTTACAGAAATCTTCTATGAAGAGATCCCAAAGAAACAGATCTGAGGTAGCAGACATGCAAGTAAGAGCAGCTGAAGAAGCTGGTGCTGTCATTATATACATGTTAATCTATGGTAGCCAAAAGTCAAGTGGCTGGTAGCATCTTTTCCTACTGATATATTTTATTAACAAGCATATGCTTTTGTGAGCTGAATCTGATGAAGTGGTGTATCTGATGATATGAGCTGCAGTTCACAGAAATGTATACTTTCAAATTTTTAAGAACCTAGCTGCTGTCACACTTGCTACTTCATAAATAGGTGCTAGTTTGACTACTGAGATAGGCTGAGAAGATTACAAAAAAGAAGAAAAAGTTACAAATTGGGATCACTGCTCAATCTTTTGCCTTTCCTTGTTCTCAGCTCTGTTTACCTGACAAGATTGTTGTTGCTGAGAAAAAAAAATAGAGGAAGGCATATTTTCTTCTTGGGAGGGGAAAGCTGGGATTCAAATCTAACAAAGAAGGAAAATATCTCTGGTGACATCGCCATGCTGCTGCATAGCATGACCTTCAAAGGCCACCATAATAATGATGCTGAAGCTGTGAAGCCAGCAACCACAAAAAATGTTGCCATTCTCTAGCCTAGAGAATGATAGAAGGGAGTTGAATAACAAGTAGCTGACCTTCTGTTCCCTGGTGGTTCTTTTCAGTTTTGACATAAAATAAGTGGAGTGAATGTTGGGAGAGAGCAGAAACTCACTCCACCCCACAGAAATGTATTACCAAGTCCACATCAATGTATCACTAGCTCGATAAGCAGAAGTCTTTGGGTAGATTAATTTTAGAGCTGATGGATAAGGGTGTTTTCCAAAGTATATTGATGAAAGTGAACCCTTCCACAACCACATCAAAGCAGTAAATAATTTCAGTCTTTGGTGAGACTGTATCAAAGGATGTCTATGACTGATTGCATATGCTTGTGCACGTAAAAGAAGTGTGGCCCACGTGGACCTTCTCCTGCAGGCAGATGGAGGAGCCCACAAAACAGCTATGCCAAACATTCAGAAGATGTGGCTGTTTCAGTGCTTGGAGGATGGGTGGGCTGGGGTGCTTTGCTCATTTGCATGTTTTGGGGCATGTCGTGGTGGAAAATTTTGGACAGCTCTATTGGTTTTCCTTCTTTCAATGAAGAAGGAAGCCTCCTCTGAAGAGATGCATCTTTAACAGTTGCCCCAACTATCCTGATGACATGAATAGAAGCAATCTGCCCATCATTTGTTACCATTGTTTCTGCTCTTTCCAGAACTGGTCATCCCAGATAGTGCAAACGTCTTTTATGCCATGAACAGCCAGATGAATTTTGACTTTGTCTTGCGGAAGAAAAACTCCCTCGACGGGCAAGTGAAACTGAGAAGCCGCTCCAGCTTGACTCTTCCCAAGACCAACAGAAGGGGCTGCTGGAGCAACAGAAACAGCAAAATTACCCTTTGAGGGTGGATCAGCCCAACACCCAAGAGGTGGGCTTGAAGGACCATTGCAGAGACTGTCTATGTGGAGATGAACATGTCAGTATTCGGCTTTGGAGAGTACAAAGCTAACACTTGCTATAAATAGGCACACATTTAGTTAGTTACAAAGAACAGACAAAAGGGTCCTGAACAGATATGCACCCCTTAGGCACTTTTGTTTTTTTCCCCCTTTTACAACCAGTCCATGAATTCAAAGCCACTTTCTATCAGGAAAACAAAGAATATGCAGCTGATGTTCTAGCCTTACCACAGACTCTTCGCCTCTTCTTAGTTTTGACAGTATTAATTTGGAGTGTTTTAGGTGCGCTTTTATAAATGGGAAAAGGCATTTTAATCCCTTGTGTTCTTACTAGAGGGAGAAGAGCATCAGACTAACCACTGACTGATGATAGTGCTGGTAAATGACTGGTAAAGATGGGCTGCTTTGGTAGAGGCAGCACAGCTTCTGAAACAAGGGGAATTAGCCTTATCTTAGAATTCTTCCCCTGCAGTTTTGGGTTTGTTTTTTTAAAGTCATCCCAACTTCCAGTCCTTTTGGACATGCTGAAAGAATCCATTCCTTGCTCCAGGAATCAGCTATTCACCGATGACTATCTGAATGCACACCACTTGCTCTTAATGCCACTATGTTGTCTTTATGCTTTGCTATTTTTTTTTTAAAAAATGTGTGAATGTACGTGTGCAGGTATGTGAGCGTGTGTATATATATTTTATATGTATATATAAAAAGTCAAAATATATTTCCTTGGAGTGTGCAGTTTTACTCCTCTTTCAACTGTGGAGCTGTTTACCTGTATTCAGCCATATTGGCGTTATAGTAAACTATAACAGTTATATTTTATACCGTACTCAGTCTGAGAAACAACACAAAACAAAAAAACAAATCTACTTAATAGCCATCATTTGAAAAGATCCCAGATATTTGTTGATTAAAAAACATTTAAAGAATTCCCCCCCTCTTTCTTTTTTTAGAATTCAGTCATTATTATTGTAGTTGTTGTTGTTTTAAATGACTTATGGTACTGCTTTAGTCACCTCTTTGCCTCATGACCTGGTTTCCTGGAATGAGAGATGGTGGTATTGACTTTTTGGAGGGTCAGGTTTTCAGTATGATGTCAGACCTGCACAACAGTAGTACAGTCAGGGAAATGCTGAAATTAAAGTAGTGATGATGGTACCGATTATAAACATGGGTGATAAGGAAGCTTCTTCCTGACACTTTTTCTCTGATTTCCATTTTCTCCCCACTTTCTTCACCTAGCAATCTGCTGCTGCATCAGCCTTTTCCTTTTGAAGACTAGGTAGCATTCCTCACCCCTTCTGTAGGTCTCTTATAAAGACCAAACAGAGCTACCCAATCACCGTAAAGCAGACTGTACTAAATTCAACAGAATCCACTCATTTGCAACAATATTTATGACTGTAAATTTACATGGAAGATTTTTTTTTCTTGCTTAATTTGCAACCTCAATTCGAACATATTACCAGGTTTAAATAGGTTCACTGAAAGTCTATCATACTCCAATTCAGAGCTCTTTGCATCCTCAAATATACCACTGCAAAGAAAGTAATGCATAATCACAGCCACGACAGTTTGTAGGTTAGTTAGTTGCACCATCATAGAAAAAATAGAAAATTGACACTGAATGTAACACCTCCTAAATACTTCAGCAAAGCATGTTTTCAAGCTTTGTCCATGTAGGAAAGGAAATGGGTGGTTGAAGCACAATGAGATCTAGAATCAGAATTGAGCCAGCAAAATATATTTGCTTTTCTTTGAAATAGAATGGGACAAGAGTTACCTGCAATTCCCGTTGATACGTTTGTATGTGATGCACATCTGTGCATATATGTACATGGGGTGAGGGCAAGGGTGTGAGTAGAATTTAAGATTACTGCATAGCAGAATGAGAAATGCCAAGCCTTTTTGCTGAAAATGATTTACCAATTTCAGCTTTGTAAAGCTAATTTTGCTATTCAGGAGCCTAACGCCAGTCCTGACAAGGTACATTTTTAAATTAATACTTATCAGATTGTGATATATTTGCACTATGTAAAACCTTCAGTTTCAAATGCTTTATATGTTGAGCCACTTACTTAAATTCTCTATATTATTGTCTAAAGAGATTGTGAGTGTGTCCCTATACTGCATATGCCTCACTCTTGTTAGTCAATTGCAGGCAACAATAGGTTATTTTGCAAGGTAGTCTCTAGATTAGAGACCTTAGCTTGCATGTAAGAGTATGAGCTTGCTTGAGTTCTGAGTTTGTGGTATACCAATGAAAGAATATACAACTGACTGGTCCTGTTGTTGCAAAAGGAGGGACTGTTACTTGTGTCATGATCCAGCTAAGCTGAGTATTCTAATGTACACCTTCTCTGTCTTACTAAAAAGCCCTGGGTGAGAACGTTAAATGACCAACTCCATGATAAGCAAAAAGTTTAATACAGGTGGGCCTTTCTGATGTTGGTTATGGCAAATAGAAGATTGAAATAAAAATGTGTAGGTGGGAAGAACATGAATTAATAAGTGAAAGAAAGCTAAATATGTTGTGCATTTGGGAAACTAAGAATGGGGAAGATGTCAATAGTTTGTAACAGAGTACTATGGTCAGATTTTTCTGGGTAATACTGAAGAATCCATGCAGGGAAGGAACAGAGCTAAAATGTATGCCAGAAAGTATGAATTGGTGTCATGTTACATTGTGAGTACAGATGAAAATAAGAATCCATACACTAGGAAGAGTTGCATGTTATACTCTAGTCTAGTGTACAATGGTAACAGAACAACCAGCAATGGGTTTTGCAGTCCATGGGCAGGGACTGGGGTGGGTAGTATGATACAATGGATGGGAATAAGACAAGATGGTACAGAACAAAGTTATTAGATTGTTTGGAAATGCAGAACTGAATGAGAAAGGGAATTGATATCTGCTTAGGAAATTGTTCGTTTTGAGTACGTGATTTAAGCACAAGTCTGTACTTGCATATGGCAAAGAAATTATGAAAAATATAAAGTTGTGACTAATTATTAAAACTGAACTTGGGAGAAAGTAGATCAGGAACAAAGCAAAGAAGTGAAAGGAACTAGCCTGAAAGGAAAGAAAGAAAGTGGATAACACAACAAATGGAAAGCAGACATAAGGAAAGTGGATGTAGAACCTGCTTGAATAGAGTCAAAACAAATTTACACTCCAACAGTGTGTGGAGATTAGTGGGAAGAATGAAAAATAATGCTTGGTGGACCAATGAAATGAAAAGGGTTGGAAATGAGGAAAAAATGCTGCAAAATGTTGAAAAAAAGGATACATTACAGATGATCCTCAGTTGATAAACACTCATTTTGTGATTGCTCCAACTTGCAACAGTACTGAAGAAGTGGTACTTAAAACTGCTCCTCATAGACCTAGCTGTCTCAGCATCCCTGCTTGGTGCTCAGCTGACAATTATGACAACCCAGAGTCCGATGGTCACATCACCCATTTGTGAGCTTCTTTGCTGGCTTCCAACACTAACGTCAATGGGGAAGCTGGAAGGAGGTGGCAACTGGCAACCATATGATGTCCTTGCTTAACGACTCACAGTGATTCACTTAACAACAGAATTATTTGTTGTTAATTCTAGACTGCTAGAATTATCGCGGCGCAGTTCAGTCATGTGACATCATGCTTTACAACTTCCAGTCCCAATTGCCATCATTAACTGAGGATTATCTGTATAGAGAAAGATAGCTACATTTTTTTTAATCTAAGGGAATAAAGAAATACTAAGATTAAAAATGTAGCACAATTCAAATGAAAATAAAAACGTCGTCTGAAATGACTGAAACAAGCTAAAGAGCCTCAAGGAGAGTGAATGGAATTAAAATTGTAACGAAATGAATTGGTCTGGAACTGAATGGAGGGAACGCTGAAACTAGTACTTTAGAGATTTATATGGGAATTATTGTACATCTAAGAGTGAGATTTAAATGGATGTGAAAATTATTAGCACGCAGGAAAAAGGATGAAAAGTTAAATTGTAAATGTTGTGAGGATGTTGAATAATAAGGCCTGAAAGTATATTCATATAATTGGTGCAATATTAAAATAAGCAGGTGAACTTTTTAGTAGTGATTGTGTAACTTTGGCAGCATATTTGCAAAGACGGCATTTGTGGCTGGTGATTGGAAGAAGGATTGTTTTCCTCTACAGAAATAAAACCAGCAAGAAAGAATGCAAAACATACTGCAGGATTAATCTGTTAAGTGTTGCTAGGAAGTTGAATGGCAGCAATCTGACTGAAGAGCTGCATAGGTAACAGTGAGGAAAAACTGGGGAGCACAATCACATTTTTATCCATAAAAAATATCTGCATAGTCACTGCCCAACCTAGAGCCACACAGGGCTCCCCAATTTTTAGTGCTCCCCGAGTTTGATTCAAGTTCTTCAGCATGTCATGGAGAAATGTGTACGAGCGATATGTCACAGATGTAACGATATGCGAAATGTGACAGATGTAATTCTAGCCAGTGTTTCATCATGAGCAGGGAGTACGACCAGAATAAGTGATATCACCTTAGTGGTTTGTTATATTATAAGGGATGCTTGTGGTGATGGAAAGGGTGTGTTGATTTGAGACTTAAATATACATCCACTTTCATATGCAGATACTGTCATGTTGTTGGATGAAAACTTAAATTATATGGAGCCATAAGGAGTATGAAGCTAAACACTAATGTGACAACAAACAAGATAAATGTGCTCACAGGGAAAATGAAGTTAATAACTGCAAGTTTTGTATAAAGGATGAAAAAACTACATTGAGTGGACAGGTTTGTCTACCTTGATAGAAAGTTTACTGCAGAGGGGGAAATGGATGGGAAAACATTAGGAAGTACAAACATTGGTAGTAAGGTAATACATGATGGGTGTGAGGAATGAAAGAAACAAAAATAACTAAGATTTTTTTTAATGGGAATTGGAGAAGTCAAGAGAAAAATTAAGTTGAATGCAATGGGAAGCTTCACTTAGCAATACCAAAGCAGATAGGGTTAAGAATGAATGTTAACCAGATATAAAATTAATATATAAAATTGAATGACCAGTATGAAACAAATGTTTTGAGGCTTTGTCATGTAGGAACATGAATTAAGATCAAATTGCAAAACAAGTATGTGAAGGATGAATGACTCAAGGGAAGGGGAAGATCAAAAATGTTGTGATTGGATTAAGATGATGATAACCTTAAAAGAGAGAAGTTAAAAGTTTAAAGACCACTGGGTTCTTCCAGTTCCATTTCATTAATGGGCTAAGTAACTTCTTCAGAGATAACATGATCAGAGAAACCCTAGGAACCAGCATTTCAACCCTGAGCTATATATATATATATATTTTTCACTGTTGGGAACAAAAATTTTAACAACAAAGGGCAATGTGCAAAAGAAGGCACCATGTATATGGGGGAAGCAAGAATGGTTTCTGAAGACAGAAGGCTACTGTGAGATATAGTGGTGGTAATGTAATCTAGTTTATCTATTTCTTTTTCTCACTCCATTCATTTAACATATTTGTCTTAATATTTCTTAGTCATTTTGTGTTTGGCATAAGGTTGCTTACTCTGGGATAGAATAGCTTGATGGGTATGTATGTATGTATGTGTGTATGTATGTATGTATGTATGTATGTACAAATATTTATTTAACAGTAAGCTTTAAAAGTATCCAGAACCTGGATGAATATTCAGAAAACCAAGATTCATTCTCTAGGTTTTCTGTTGAAAAATAAGCAATACACAAAAGCATTAAGTGGGTAAGTATATGCACATATTCACACTTCGTATTAGCTAGAATTGTAGAATTAGCTAGATTTTTATATTTTATATTTTTACATTGTTATGCTTGTGCTGACCATCTTTTCTAAACAAAGACAAGACTGATTAAAAATTGTTGTATAAAATAGTCTTTTATTTATCCCTGTGATTTAACCTATTCATTGGATCTCTATTAAAAGATTTATTTAAAAAATATCATTAGAAAAATAAAACGTTCAACTCACTTTCACTATCTAAACTTTGTATATAGAATTTTAGATCTAACACAGATTAGAACAATAATCATCTCACAATTCCAGTGTTTCACGAATTATTTACCTCTTGATTTGGTAGTGCTTCGAATAATGAATTCAGCAGGGTTGTGAATACTAAATAGCACTGTACCACAAATTACAAGCTTCCAGTCCTATGATAGGGTCCATCACAGCTTACAAAGCCTTTTTAGCTCCTGGTTGCTAGGATAGGAAGAATGTTTGGTAGACTCTTTTTCTCTCCCCAGTTAATCCATTCCTTTCCAATTCCAATTAGTATGAGAGGAAAGTTAGCTGCATAAATCCCAGTCCAGTTTAGAGGATTAATCCATTTCTGGAATTTATTTAATGAATGAAAGGTCTTGGGACCACCTGATCCGAGGTTGCCTTTGTTCTATTTCCCCCCCACCCAACATTTTTACACCTCCTACTGCTGGCATTAGATTTCTGCCCACATGATTATCCATGTGTTGGGGTCTCCCAAATATGCTGAAACTAACTCGGAATTTTTATCCAGTCTCTGGATAAGCTGGCTAAAAACTGAAGTTGCAATACATCTGGAAATCTGAAGCAGATTTATAAGTGTTTGCCATATATCTAAATATATATGAACATATATAAACTTTACTTCTGACTGATGAGAGGATTTTGAGTTTGTTCAAATCCCCCCAGACAAATTACCCATTTTCATTGTATCACACAGGTGGCTTTAAAAGATGCCTTCTGTTATTACAATGATTTTTGCTAGCATAGCAATCTTCCATACCTATCCATCACCCTTTTAAGAAACTTATTATTCAAGTTGCATAGAAAAAAGAGCTGTTTCTAAAAAAAAAAAAAAAGGATTGAACACCCTCTTTAACACATACCTCCTCTAATTATTACTGATGGCAGATTTTATGTTCTTTCTTTTGCCATTTGATTTCTATAGGCCTGTGCTACTTTTCCATAATGATAAAACTGTTTCAGAAAATGTATTTGGACCCACCAGATTTTCTCACCTATTATTGTTTGAGTGAATTGTAATAGAATAGGAGAAATGAAGCCATCGCATACATGAAATATACTCAAAGCATATTTTGCCAAGAAATAAATATATAAATCACTAGATACAGACCTGGAAATTCAGATTTTTTTTTTAAAATCACTCTGCCTCTCATTAACTTTTCCTGTTGCAATTCTGCCTACCTGGTCCTAAAACATATACCCCACTATTTCTGTGACCATTGTAATTTGGTTTAAAAAATTATATAAAGTATGACAAAAACTGACTATGAGGGCTTTCCCTAATTTTGGGCATGAAGGGAATATCAGAAAGAACTAGAATCAGGTTGTTATTGTTGGATGTAATGAAATGTAGTACAGTAAAAGAGTTACAGGGCAGGAAGAGATGTTGAAGATTCAATCATCTATACTGTAGGTTCAAGATTCTAAGCATTTTTTATTTCTTTAATCTAGATAGATAAAGCTTCAAACCAGTTTCTTATTCTCACAGATCACTCCAGACTATGATGCTATGTTAAAGTCATAAATAAATGACCAAGACACCAAATCATTGCATTCATTGCTATATATATTATCAGACCAGCTGATAAGCTGCACACGTGCATTTTAGAAAAATATACAATTGTACTGTTATTTCTTCTAAGAACAGTAATTCTTGAGTAAAACATCTATAGCACGTTCAACACATACAGATTCTTTTGATTGTCTTTTTAAACATTTTAGCTCTGAATGTTTTTTTTCCTATCCAGCTCAGAAGTCTGCATTATCAAAAAAAAAAAAAAACCTTGAGGTAAATGAACACAGACAACTTTTATGGTGGGTTCTAAAAAGGTAGACTTTGCACACGGAGATGTTCTTCAGTGGAGTGAACATTACAGCTCATTTCAAATGTTGAAGTTTGAGCATCATAAAAAGAAAAGAGCTGCCACATGTCCTTCAGTATAGTTCACATGCAAATGAGATCAAAGTGACACAACGATTACATCAAAATACTTAATATCATCAGATTTTTAAAGGGTTGGAAAAGGTAACTGTTATTTTCGAGTCCATTATTCATTGATTATCTATTCCTTCATACACTCAGCCTGAATTTACAGATGTGAGCTGAAATTTTTCCTCTTGTCATAAAAGCATGAAAGATAAATTACCGAGAGCTTTACTGCATGCAACAGTACCATTTGTGACTGAAAGTGTGTTTCAAAGCTATCAATGAGCACCGTGTTTAAAAGGATATTTGAAAGGATATTCAAATCCAGTTTGTAATGGAACCTGCCCATGTACTGTGGAGTCCTTGATGCTCTCTGAGCTTGGTTGTTTGCTTGCAGATGTTTCATTACCCAACTAGGTAACATCTCTGATTATGGCACCAAGGATTCCATAGTTCAACCCTCAGCTACATATATTCTTTTCTGTCAGGATGCATGTCACTCCCAGCTGCTGGCTGAGGAAGATGTATGGTCTAATTCTCAATTCTCAGTTTTCCATCTAGTAGAGATCTTCACTAAATTTCATGAGGTGTGAAGGATAAAGATGGAAAACTGCTGATAAATATTAAAAATTGTGAACTCCAGAAATTCTTGTGACAAATGAGTTGTTGTTCATAGCTTATGATTAAAAATGAAACCAAATAATACCATTGGGAATTCATATGATGAGCATAAGGGAAATCTTGTCCATCATCTGATAATTTCAATACATGCAATACTATTTGGCATTTAGCCTTAGGAACGGGAACATTCTAACATTTCTGCTTCAGAATATGGTTCACAAAATGCAGCAGACAATAGACTGATAATTAACACGGAAAAACTTGGTAGACCCTTCCTAACTCTTGTATATATTACTTTTTATAAATACAACAATTCTACACCAAGAATAGTAGAAAGATATTGGTTAAGGAATTTTTGTCCTGAGTATAACCTCATTTCCTTTTAGAGTCCTCCAGCAGCTCTGTAGAATTTCCTTTAGTACAAGCCAATCAGCCAAAACCAGGGCCCCTTTCAATAATTTGAACAACATTCCTCTGGTTGTTTTAAAATAGTCAGATTCATCCACTCACCCTGCAAAAATGAGACAAGCACCTCCTCAGTTCAAGCAAGTCATATCAAACTATTTTGCCAAGGAAGATAGCATATTAATATCTCTGGAAGTTCTAGAAGTCCCGCTGATGTTTCCAGTAACTTGTAGCTGATCCATTTAACAATCATAGTTCGTCTCTGGTGGATGATGCATCAAGGGAAGGTCCAGGTGGCAAGGCATTCTTGTTCTGGGCATCTTTATGGATCTGGCCCTGTTGCCGCGACTTCCGGGAAAGTGTCCTGTCCCAATCAGTGGCCACAGTCTCATTGTCCCAGATTGTGGATGTCTCTGTGTCACTGAGGTAACCTGGTTGTCCAGTGTAGTGTGTTGGATAGATCAGCAAAGGCTCTGCAGAGAAAGCTTTCAAATCTCTAGGTTCATAGTGTTCCATGTATTTGGCACTTAAAAAGGAAAAGAAAAGAAGTCACTAAGAAGATTGCCAATTTATGAGTTTTTGATATCTTTTGTATCTCACAGCAGGACAAACTTACAATGGTTATAAAATGAGTGGTTCATTAAACATTCTCTTATCAATGTTGTAAACCTATATTCACATCCCTCAATTCTAAACATCTGGAGATAATATATTGATGTATTTTATTTAAGTGTTGGGAGGGCTGCTATATTTTCTACAATCATAAGTCACTTTTCAGCATAAAGGCCTTGCAGATCAGTTGTAAAAATAAAACACGCCATACATGGTCAATAATTTAAAAAAATGAGGAACAAGAAGCAAGTTCTACACTAACTGTAAGAAAGTATTGGCAGAATTTGGTTCACAGCTAATTATTAAGCAAAGGTATAACAAATTAACTCATAGCTAGCAAGAAGACCTCTTCCAAATATAATTTACCTTATTTCAAATTTTGATTGAAAGACATGTAATCAAGCTTTAATGTGAAATACATTCACCAACTAAAAGATATCTGAAGCTATCGTTGGTCTCCTCATAAGATTACTCGGCCTTATTAAAACTCTTCAATATCCCTGGAAGCTTTAAATGTATATAGAGATGCAATGATTTGAGCTTCCAGCTGGAATATGGTAGCAAGTCCATTTGGGTCATCTTAATGGATGACTTACATAGGAAACCCAAGGGAACAAATGCTGCCCTCAGTTTTCTTGGAGGCTTTCAGTATTATCAAATAAGGTTCTCTTTTAGACTCGCTGAGGGACTAGACCTTAGGAAGGACTGTTTTGCAGCAACTGCAATTTTTTATGTCAGGCCAAATCTAGAAAGAGATTTTGGAGAACAACAGCTCAAGACTGGTATCTCAGATAATTATATCTTGAGCAGAATTCAAGTACTCTTGCAGGTACCCTTCGTTCAATAATGGGATGGAAATTAGATCCAGAAAAGACAATGTGCTGTTGTTCTACAGGAATCTTGACTTTGAAAGGTATTAAACACCTTTTGAGAAAACAGTTCTGCAGTCTGGGAGTGCTCACTGATCCTCAACTGGCACTGGCTAAGCAGGTGTAAAAGAGGGTTTTTATGCAATTTCACCTAGTGTACCAGCTGCAAACCTCTCCAAGCCAGTTACATTTAGCAATAGTTAGCCATGCCTTGGCTTTGTCTAATCTTTATAAACATTCAACATAATCTTTATAAAACATTCCATGTAGAGCCGCCCATGAAAAGTGCCTGGAAGTGACAAAGCAGCAAGGCTGCTAACCACTGCCAGGAATAGGGATCAAAGATCCACAATGCTTGTTGTTTGCTTAACAGGAACAACTAATCTGTAAAGCCATAAATAGTCTTCTATCTTTAAGATTGGTGGGAAAAGCCCTTCTGGAAATATTCTGCTGTCAGAAGCCCAGCCACCTGTCATTCTCCCCAGTTGTGGAACACTTTTCTTAGCCTTTCAAAAATTGTGACAATGCACCACTTTTGTCATACTTTAAATTACTATATTAGAATTAATATGATATTTAATTACATTCCAACTTTTTGTGAAAAGTTTTAATTTTGTCAACTGTCATGAGAGTCTGTATGAAAGAAAATAAATACACAATTATTAAATTAAAAAATGTGACTTGAGTTTCATAATCCCAGAAGCAATGTGCCCAATACAGATGGGCTCTGCCCACAAAGCATTCCCATTTATATCATGGCCAGTCATTTCCAACACACATAAAACAGCAGTTTGTAGAAGTGATAATGTAATTGTTGAAGAGATGATATAATTAACACCAGCTATAGGAGGAGTGATGTTCAATCCCCATCGAAAAGTATTCCATGAACCTGAAGCTCCAAAACCATTGCAGGAAGCAACTATTTACTGATAAGAAGATAAATAAAGAAGATAAATATGCATCATAGTATAAAGCTAACATACGCTTAACGCAAGCTATACTGTACAGTAATCACAGCCAATAACCTACATTGGGTGTTTGTTGTACATGACCGGCAAGAATTCATCTACAGGGAGCATCTTGCTGAAAGGTTGAGCTCCAATTAGCTTCTGAGCTCCTTGAAAGGTGATCATGTAGCCTAGTGTCCAGTAAGAGTAATCGGCTTCCACCAGATTCATCACATTGGGCACAGCCTTCTCTGGATGCTCTACCTGCATCCGTTTCCGACCAATATATCTATACAGAGAAAGTTGAGTCATTGGACCGTATTCCATTTGCCGATATGATGTAGTGTAGAAACATCTAAATTCAGCATCTGTGGTGCCAGCTTCTCTGGCCAGATCACCAGAAGCTTCATGTAAACCCTCTTTTTAAAAGAACTAGTAAGAATTAACAACAACAACAAAACAGCCAGTTGTGGAGTTAACATAAAAGCTTCCCAATTCCTGCCCTGGATCAAAGGCCGCTTGGCCCAGTATTCATTCCCTATAGCAAGGATCCCCAACCTCTGGTCCATGGACCAGCACCGGGCCACACAAACAAGTGGGATGCAGGCAGTATGCACAACCACACCCCTCTGGTCTGTGGAAAAACCTTTCCCTGGCACCGATCCCTGGTGCCCAAAAGGTTGGGGACTTCTGCTGTATAGTGGGATCCTGCATGTAGACCAGTGGTTCTCAACCTGTGGGTCGAACGACCATTTCACGGGGTCGCCAAACAACGCAATCCGCCATTACCCCCCCCCCTTTTCCTTAGCTGTGCTACTCCCTTTTATTCTATTAGCTTTTGAAAGCCAATAGAATAGACTCTCTTGAATAGAGTCTAATTCTATTGGCTTTCAAAAGCCAATAGGAATTGTCCAGGCTGTCTCTGCCCTGCTGAGCCCGCCAAAAGTCCCATTCTGCAAACAGTGCTGCTGCACCAGTTGAGTAGTCCTTGACTTACGACGGTTGAGTAGTCCTCGACTTATGACCGGTTGGGGGGGGGTCGCGGCATTAAAAAGGTTGAGAACCACTAGAATAGGCTCTCTTGAATAGAGTCTAATTCTATTGGCTTTCAAAAGCCAATAGGAATTGTCCAGGCTGTCTCTGCTCTGCTGAGCCCGCCAAAAGTCCCATCTGCAAACGGTGCTGCAAGTTGTCTGCAGTGAAGGCGAGCTGTCTGGAAGCTTCCATCCCTCCCTGCTGAGCAACTACTAAAAATGTAAGTAAAAGAGGCCAGGGGTGGGAGTGGGAGGCCGGCGGGCGCAGGGAGGGTTGCTGGCGTGCGTGGGGCCCGGCGGGTGCCTTACCTCACTTGGGCTCAGCCAGCTGGTGGCCCAGCCGGTAGTCGGCCTGCGCCATTGCTGCCCCTTGCCAGCTACGCCTCAGCCAGCGCAGGGGGCGGCACCACGCATGCGTGGCGCTCCCGGGCAGGGAAAGTCCTCGACTTATGACCGGTTGGGTAGTCCTTGACTTATGACTGGTTGGGTAGTCCTCGACTTACGACCGGTTGGGGTCGCGGCATTAAAAAGGTTGAGAACCACTGAAAAGCACCGTTTTACTTGTATACCCCAACAACTGGGATTGAAAACACTATTAGGTACAATATACAGATATTATGACTAGCAGTCATTGGTTGCTTTATCCTCCATGAACATGTACAACACATGTTCACGTCAAGGCTATCATTACATTTTATGGTAATTAATTCAGAAGGTTATACTAAAACACTCAGCAAGGAAATATCCTTATTTTAGCCTTAAATCTCTTAGCATCCTCACTACTGGTAAGTCCTCAATTAAAGACCACAATTGAGCTCACAGTTTCTGTGGTTAAGTGAGACATTTGTTAAGTGAGTTTTGCTCCATTTTACGACTTTTAGTGCCACAGTTATTAAGTGAATCACTGGAGTTGTTGAGTTAGTAACACGGTTGCTAAAGGAATCTGGCTTGCCCATTGACTTTGCTTGTCAGAAGGTCACAAAAGTTGATCACAAAACCCCGGGACACTGCATCCGTCATAAATATGAGTCAGCTGCCAAGCGTCTGAATTTTGCTCACATGACCATGGGGATGTTGCAATGGTTGTGAAAAATGGTCATGTCACTTTTTTTCAGTGCCATTTTAACTTCAAGTGTTCACTAAACAAACTGTTGTAAGTTGAGGACCACCTGTATTATGAGACAAAAACTTCTCCCTGTCTAATTTTCCTCACTGCAACTTTTAGAGCCCACTTTCACTTATCTCCTTATTCACTTTTATTTCTAAGCTAAAATGCACCCAAATGTATGGCCTTTCCTTAATAGAGAGCACAGGGAAGACACTCAGAAGCAAGATTAGTGGATTATTACTTACATAAACTCCCAGTCAAGCTGCGTTCTCTCAGTGTCATCCATTAACTTTGTGAGTTTCTTTTTGAACTGATGCTCAAAACGTACATCATCTTCAATGACTAGGCACTTCTCCATCTCCCTGCTTACTATCTTAAAATAACAATTTGAAATAATTTGAATTAAATTCAATCACTCATATCCCCTCATGACTTGACTGCTGGAATATGCTGCACATGGGGCTGCCCTTGAAGTGCACTCAGAAATGTCAACTGATCCAGAATGCAGAGGTAAATGCAGTGATGGTCATATTCCCAAGTGACACCTTTGCTTTGTGAGCTGCATTGGTTGCCAGTATTTTTCCAGGAACAATTCAAGGTGCTGTTATGTCCTATGAGTTCTTATATGGCATAGGGCAGTGGTGGCGAACCTATGGCATGGGTGCCAGAGGCGGCACTCAGAGCCCTCTCTGTGGGTATGCACGCCATCGCCCCAGTCCTAGGCCTTCAGCTGGGTTTTATAAAACCTTTTCGCTTTAGGCCTCCGCCGCGATGTGCAAAAAAAAAAGGTTCAATCAGTCAATTTCAACTTCTCGCGGGAAAAAAAATCTTGCAAAGTTGGAATTGATTGATTGAACTTTTTAGTCCCACCCAGTCTGCTGTTACCACCACAGCCACGCCCACCCAATGGGCCACACCCACCCAATGGGCCACCCAGCACCCGACGATGCATAAATGGGTTTTGGGTTGTAGTTTGGGCACTCGGTCTCTAAAAGGTTCGCCATCACTGGCGTAGGGCCTGGTAACTTGAGGGATTGCCTATGTTCCATAGCAGCCTTGCCAGTTTGATCCAACATGAGTTGGCATTCTCGGGGTCCTCTCCTCTCCTCTCCCCTCTCCTTCTCTCAATTAACGAATCTCATCTGTCAAGAACCAGGAAGCATGTCTTCTGGAATAAGGTTTCATCCTCTGATATCCATGACTCTGACTCTGCTAATATTCCAGAAAGATTTAAAGGCATATCTATTCTTCTGGGCCTTGGATTAGGTGGCTAGAGCTCCTGTTGGATTGAGTGTGGATATAGTTTGCCAGATTCCATCAGTTCTTGGTTTTTTAATGCCTTTTAAATTTATTTCATAATTATTGCACTATATTTTCATTCAGTTTGGTTTTATTGTATACTTTCTAGAACTGAGCTGGGGTTGAGCAGTGTCTAAACTGAATATGTTTTTATTTGTTGACTACCATATTAGAAAAAACTATAATAAAATTATCCCATGAGCTGTTTATCTGTGGTAGCCTTCTCTGGAAGAATGTAAGTGGGCCAGTGGAAATGCCTGTCTTCCAAGAGATTCATCATCATGAGCCTATCTCCAAGACTAGCAAAAAGGAGAGGAGAGGAGAGGAGGGGAGGAAAGGGGGAAGGGAGAGGAAAGGAAAGAGGAGAGGAGAGGAAGCATTTCTGTCAATTACAATGAGGATAAGCAAATTTTGGTTACCTCCTTCCAAATATAATAGTGGCTAAGGAAACAGCCAATCTCTCCTCTGGTCAGCACTCTAGAAGAGTATGGATCCTGGTAACCAGGAAGCATGTCTATATTTAGAGCTTTCAGCTGGCTTGTATTCAGCATCCTGAAAGAGACAATGATTACATTCCTTAGCCAAACATTTTCAAGATGGAAAGGAAAGCCACAACCTATTTTTTTTAAAAAAAAAACACCATAAGGCGATGAATCTGTACAATGTATAGCAAAACAAACCCTTTCCCTGCAGATAGAAATCAATGCAGTGTGATAAAATAGGAGTTATTATTTTTTTTCTAACATTCTTGCTTTCAGCTTTCAAAGTATTGTTTTCATAAACCAAGGTTTTAAAATAATTATTTCTACTTGCAATCAAAAGTGGTACTGTCAATCCTCACAACATATTTTACAAGATCTCATTTGTAACACTTTAGAAAATCAATAAAAATGTGGATTCTGTCTTGCAGAATTGTGCCTAATATGAAATGTACAGGATTTGACCCCACTGAAGGAGAATTTAGCTGGATTTGTAGAATTTCTATAGGGAGTTCAGAAGAGAAAATATTTCCTAGGCAAGCCCTGGTGAAATGAACAAGAAAACATGGTTGGGATACTAAAAAATTCCCCAGTTTTACAAATGAGGAGGAAAGTGTTAATTATTTAAAGACAATGTGAGAATCTTTTGTGTGCAAAACACTATTGTAAATAGCTGCTGGTGGGAGACAAATATTTTTGCTCTTTAAAGAGATTAAAGAAGATGCTCAACTGATAATTATCTATCCTCTGACAAATATATACACCATATATCTGCACACACCAAAAAAACTTATTAAGGGAGAAAGTAAGCTTCTGAGCAGTGTCTCAGGGAGAGAGATAGCAGACAATTATTTTGCAGAGCAACAATGTTGTTGAATCAAGCTTGATTTAATGCTTTAGTCTTCCCAAGCACAGAGATACATAGCATGGCTCACATTTGACAAAGTAAGTCGCTGGTAGCAGCAATGCTGGAGCAGAAACAATGTGACAGAGAGGGAGTTGTCTTTATCAATGGGTCTTTATCAATGAGTTGTCTTTATCACACCTACCGATGATCCCAGGTGAATAATTGAGAAATAGTTGATAAATTATCCCAAATCACATAAAGTACTTTAATGTTTCGCAGTCTTTAAACTTGTTGTTAGTTGCGGAGACGTTGTTGTTAGTTGCGGAGACCCATCGTGACCCCATGGACAACGTTCCTCCAGGCCTTCCTGTCCTCTACCATCTTCTGGAGTCCATTTAAGCTCACGCCTACTGCTTCAGTGACTCCATCTAGCCATCTCATTCTCTGTCGTCCCTTTCTTCTATTGCCCTCAATCTTTCCCAGCATTAGGCTCTTCTCCAGTGAGTCCTTCCTTCTCATTAGGTTGCCAAAGTATTTGAGTTTCAACTTCAGGATCTGGCCTTCTAAAGAGCAGTCAGGGTTGGTCTCTCTAGGACTGACCGGTTTGATCGCTTTGCAGTCCAGGGGACTCACAGGAGTCTTTTCCGGCACTATAGTTCAAAGGCTTCAATTCTTTTGCAGTCCATTCTTTCTTATGGTCCAACTTTCACAGCCATACATTGCAACTGGGAAAACCATGGCCTTGACTATATGTACTTTTGTTGGCAGGGTGATATCTCTGCTTTTTAGTGTGCTGTCTAGATTTGCCATACCTTTCCTCCCCAGGAGCAAGCGTCTTTTAATTTCTTGGCTGCAGTCCCCATCTGTGGTGATCTTGGAGCCCAGGAAGATAAAATCTGTCACTACCTCCATTTCTTCCCCATCTATTTGCCAGGAATTGAGAGGGCCGGATGCCATGATCAGTCCTTAAACTAGGTGGCCCCAACCCCCTTCCACTCCCCACTCCCCAAATTTTACAGCTCCGTGCCTGGCAATTTTTATCAACTCAACTCACTTTCCATCCACAGCTTCCACTAGCTTGACTTCAATTTCCTGTTCATATAAAGTCTGCAGCATTCGATCCCGTCTGTCTTTTCGACGCTTCAGATTGATCATGAAAATCTAGAAAGGAAGAGACCAGAAGCATGGAGGAATACCAAAACAATAATATGTGCGGTTCCCCCTAACTCTTTAAGTTTTACTGACAGCCAATGCTAAAATATAACTTCCCATCTTGGAGGGAGGAGAAAATTGCTAATTCAGTTTCAAGGAAAAGGACATCCCCCTATATGGGGATGGGGGGGGGGGTGTCTCCAGCCAGATTTGGTGACTTCAGTAACTAAATCTGAGATTTTCTATGTGAAGGTCACATTTTCTGCCTTGAGTTCTCCAAGTTTTGTTTTTGTGGGAAAAAAGGAAAGTGTGTGCCTTTTTAATTATTCTGCCAGACTTTACTATAACAACTATCCTGTCTTAAATCTGAGTTCATTCTAGGATGAAAAAAAAAAGAGCACGTGAGCAGCAGGTAGAAAGGTCTGAGCTGCTCCCTCATAAATAAAGGCTGCTGAGGCAGGAGTATTATGCGCCTATGAAGGCAGGCAAGCAAACAAGAGCAGCCTTGCACTGAGGGAGTGAAAGTGAGTGAACATCAGACTCTGCTCTCCTCTAATTGATTGAACCCTATGATTATGTGGGAGATAAAATAAATGCAGGCTATCTCAGCAGAGATGTTCCTGATGGACCAGGGTGGATTGTAGAATTCCACCTGTGGTTAGTTTGACCAACCCAGGGGTAGGCAACCTTGGCTCTTTTATGACTCGTGGACTTCAACTCCCAGAATTCCTGAGCCAGCCATGCTGGCTCAGGAATTCTGGGAGTTAGAGTCCACGAGTCATAAAAGAGCCAAGGTTGCCTACCCCTGGACCAGCCCCTAATGAATGCAACCCAGTAGAATTGTACCTGGAATTTGGAGTTGAATAGCAGACCCTTATGGCTAAATGTGGTGGCTTTAAGAACGAAGGGTCAGGGCTGACTGATAAACCTGTATAAATGAAGACTATCAGAGAAAGGATTCTAGGGGGATTAAATCAACCAACAGAATTAATATATGTTGTGAATGTGCAGAAGAAAATAAGTATGCCGGTGTACTCCAAGCTCAAGTAGGCAGAACATGTTTTAGTAGCTTTATCCAAACAAGGCTGGAAAACAAAGCATGATCACAAATAACAGCATTTTTTAAATAAAAAAGTGATCCAGACAGATGAAGTTCTATATATCAGAGGTTCCCAACCTATGGGCGCGGCCCACCAATGGTCTGTGACCTCTTGGCCACCGGGCTATGTGAATGGCTGGCCAGTTTGCATGCGCATGCGCGCGTGCTCACCCCTTGTGCCGGCACTGGCTGAGCTGCAAGCCGGTAACTGGCATGTGTTTATGACAGTTGCAGTGTCCTGGATCATGTGATCACCTTTTGCAAACTGCTGACAAACTAAGTCAATGGAAAAGCCAGATTCATTTAACAACTGTGTTACTAAACAAATACAGTGATTCACTTAACAACTGTGACAAGAAAGGTCATAAAATGGGGCAAAACTCATTTAACAACTGTCTTGCCTAGCAATGGAAATTTTAGGCTCAATTAAGATTGTAAGTCTAGGACTAACTGTACCTCTTCATCTAATTATGTGGTGAGTCCCTGTATCAATAGCTTTTAAATTGCGTAATAATTTTCATACTAGAATGTAGATACTTGTGGGCTCCAGGAAATGTAATTCAAAACCAGTGATGCAATATTGCAAGGTGGAATTGCCAGAAAGGCATAGAATAGATTAAGTATCATCATCATACTGTCAATTTTCTCCTAAGTTCTTTTCCATAGCACATTTAAGAGAAAAACAAATTTAGAAAATTGATTTTTGTGGCCTGTAATACTACCCTACAGTAGATATTAAATCCCTGCTTGCTTTAAAAAAAGAAACCAGCAATTTGAATAGCAAAAGCACTTAATATCACTTTATAGTGCTTTACAGCCCTCTCTAAGCTGTTTACAGAGGCAGCATATTGCCCCCAACAATCTGGGTCCTCATTTTACCGACTTCAGAAGAATGGAGTCATGTTACGTTCATTGTGTTCTCGTGGACCATCACTGAGGTCTATACAGTATATGTGATGTTTTTATTTCCCATCATGCCCAGCAAACATATTTGGCCACATTTTCTAGGAATGATGGTAGCTGAAACTCAACCATCTGGAGACCCGTAGTTTAGGGAAGGCTGGGTGAGACATTCAGTATTGGAAGTTACTGAGGTCAGAGTTAAACTCCTACTGGATTTTGCCTCAGCCTTTTGCAAAAATTGGCATGCTGAGTGAGACACCCTCCTTTTTGCATTACCTCGTCAAATCCCATCTTCTCAGGGTGTTTTGGAGGAACTGTGACAAACTTTGAGGGTTCAATTGGAGGATGGTCAACTGGAAGAGATTAAGAACATTCATCCTATTATATTAATACTGACAGTTTTTAAACTTATTCATACTTTGAGTAAAACAGACTTGTACAGAGCTCTGCGTATTGCTGAATAGCATAGCTGTGAGGCACTAGTCAGTAGCATATAGCAAGAATTCTTCTTTAGTTTTAAACATACTCCTTTGTAAGTGTAGTTAGGATATTGCTACAGCAAAGGAACAAAAGCTTATCAATAAAGCAGACCGTGCAACTCTTTTTCAAATGATGGGCTATTCTTGATTTTGAAAGACTGCACTTCCAAATATGCAACATTTGGAAGCTAGAGCTGGTACAGACTCAGCAATGCAATTCTTGGGGCTCCAATGGTGGCCCATGTACCATGTTTTCCCGAAAATAATCCCTAGTATGATTTTTTAGGATGCGCATAATATAAGCCCTACCCCAAAATAAGCCCCAGTTAAGATCGTCAGACAGACACATTTAGTACTGTGTTTTCCCCAAAATAAGACCCAACCGGAAAATAACCCCTTATGCATCTTTTGGGACAAAACTTAATATAAGACCTGGGCTTATTTTCAGGGAAATACGGTAACATCCCTACTTTGTGAATTGCACTGGGTGTTGCTTCTGGTTGCGATTCAAGGTGTTGGTTATCATATTTAAAGCCTTTCATGGCATGGGTCCAGGCTACTTGAAGGACTGTCTCATACCTCTGGGATTGCCCCCCCCCATGGTTGACAGAGGAGGCATGCTGAGGGCCCCATTGGCCATGTGTTCCGGCTGGTGCGGTCCAAGGGAAGAGCTTCTCTATGGTTGCACCTGCCTTTTGGAACATCTTGTCCCCAGAAAGGGGTCAGCTACAACCCTCCTGACCGTCCACAAGAGCTTAAAGACCTGGCTCTGCCAGTTGGCTTGGGGCTCCAATGGCGGGGCTTCACATTGGGAGTGGCTGATAGATTAACAAGAGATCCCGCCCCTTCCCCTTTTTCAACCTATTCCCTCCCTCCTCATCTTTAAGCTAGGTTGACTCTATGGATTTTCCTAGTATTGTATTTACATCCTTAGGTTTTGTAGTTTGTAAGCCGCCCAGAGTTATCTTGTGGTAAGATGGGTGGCTAATAAGTTTTACAAATAAATAAAATATGGATATGAGGGTTAATTTAATGTAACTAGCATTAATTAAAATTGGTTACTCTTCCCATACATTTGTTATCACCGAATCATAATGTGTAATATAACTATTGGAGGAGTTCTAAAAAGTTGCTTGCTAAGTTTCCGAGGTCTATATCTATTGCTGTGAGTACACTTGCTTGCGAGCAGTGGACAGGTTCACAAGAGGTTACATTTGAAGAAAAATTCCAGGAATTTATTATTTAACGTGCCACCTGCAATTTGGCACTGTGATTGGTTAAGACAAATGAGACACTTGTGTAACTAATATCCAGATTTCATCCATCAAAACTCTGATCTAGTCCCCAATTCAAATTACAGCATCAGCTCCTGTTAAGATTAATCGATATAGTTTAGGAGTTTCTAATATTTTGGTTTATATGTTAGTACCTGCGTAGCATCTGTCAACGCCTTTAGCCAAATGCATCTTTTTCAAGGATTGTGAAGCAGCTGTGCAATTCCACAAAAAGGTACAGCTTAAGGAGTTGCCAGTACCTGCTTCATGAATTCTTGTATACTCCAAACTGCCTTTTCCCCTTTAAATCTGAAGAGCTGCATAGCCCCTCTGTGGTTAGCAATGATGGAGAATGATAGCTGGGTAAGTATTTTGACCCAAACCATGGTTGTTTTGACCATGGCATGGAAAGCATTGACTCAGCATGCTAAGTCAATATCAAACTATAGTGTGGCTTAACATGGGACTATTTAGTCTCTGTTTTACCATCATTACAAAAGTACTTCAAAGTAAGGGTAGAAATTAAGCCAAACAAGGGGATCCTGCAAGCCAATGGCACTAGATTCATTGTTCCATTCTTTGCATGTTTCTAGTCCAATAATAGATAATGTAATGTTGAAATATTTATGTCTGTCATGATTTAATCACACAGTGAATAGGGCTACTATAGCTAGACTGCAAAACTCTGGAGCATAGACCTAATAGTTTGCTGCCATCTAATGGTTGGCCAGATTTAATAGCGAGTTTTAAAATCTACCTAAAAATGAATTAGCAATTTACACACACACAGAGACACAGACACAGACACAGACACACACACACACACGTATGTAAGCATGTATGTATGTATGTATGTATGTATGTATATATGTTTTCTGAGGTTTTCGCGGGTGTTTGTATGTAGGTCTTTGGTTATTCGGGTTTTCTCCTGCGTAAAATTGGAAGTGTCTTGGTGATGTTTTGACGAAGTCCTATTCGTCATCTTCAGGCTGGTGTTTTCGGCTTCGTGCTTCTAGAAAACCCGAATAACCAAAAACCTACATACATACATACATACATACATACATACACACACATACATACATACACACAACACACACACACACACACAATAGGTTTTTCAGATAATCAACCTGTATTATTTTCCATCATTTGAACTCATTAAATTCTAATTCATTATTTAAAGAACTGATATCATAATGGGAGAGAGGGGTAGGAATGTTTATTTCCAAAACACAATAAAAGCACAAAATCCATATTATTGGAAACCAAAATAGTAGGGATGTGAGGCCAAATAGGTAACTTACTCATTGCTTCACTCAGCACGTGAACAGTATTGTCCGATTCATCTTCTAGCAACTGGTGTGATTTCAGTGGCACAGGAAGGTAACCATAATGTTCTCTGTTGCAAATGTACATCTGAACGTCTGGAAAGAGAAGGAGATATAAGAGACATAGGAGAAAAACTGTGCTCATAAAGGAAGTATGGGACTCCTGTCAGGTCTCTTTGGCCGAGTCTTGGACACTGAACTCCACCTTCCTCAAGGTTCTTCTACAAGATCAAAGGCTGCAGAGTCCCTACCACATGGCCGAGCCATCAGATGCATTCAGCACGACAGTGAACACAATGAACAGATCTCTGCCCACTGCCTCATTGATGGAGACAAAAGAAAAGGGCAGCAGGAGAAAAGGAGTTATAGTACAGCAAGCCTATGAGCAATTGCTCTAACATTAGATTTGTTGTGGTTTTTATTCTGTATTTCGATTTTTGTAAGCAGCTTAGAGTCAATCAGACTCAAGCAGCACAAGTTAATTAAAAGGAGAGCCCCTCCCCAACAAAGCAATAAAAGAAAGTGGAGGGGATAAAAATAAAGATGGCTAAATTTTTGAATCTTGAAACTGCAAGTTTTTAAGAAACTTAAATGGTTGAACAGGGGGTTGGACTAGAAGTCCCTTCGTACTCTGTTATTTTGTTCTGTTATTTTATCCCATTCCTTTACTGCCACAGTCACTGATGCATCTACACCAGGGCTTTTCAACCAGTGGTACGGGTACCACCTGTGGTACATTGGCACCTGGCAGGTGGTACGCGACCATCCTAGAAAAGTGGTAGCGGGGGAGGGGAATGAGCTGAACCGGTGGCAGCACCGCACAAGCCTGAGCGAGAGATGGCTGGAACTGCAGGGCTGTCAGGGCTCAGTGGAAGCGCCAGGATCAGCGCCAGGCTCCAGCTGGAGCTCGGCTCTGATCCTGGAGCTTTTGCTGAGCCCTGAAGAAGAACCAATCAGCTGGAAAGCAGCACTGATCCTGTCGCTTCTGCTGAGCCCAGAAGAGGCGTCGATCAGCTGGAATGTTGCAGCCTCTCCAGGGTCTTGTGATTTACATTCAGATGCTTGGCAACTGATTCATATTTATGACGGTCACAGCATCCCAGGATCATGTGAAGGGACCAAAACCTGCTGCAACCACCCAGCAGATGGGGGGGGGATAAAAACCAAACACGCCCCACCCCACCCCGCTGCCACTCCTCAACAGAAATGCTCACAACAATGAAAACCTTGGACAGGAGGAAGAGCGCCGCCGGGCGGGCAGGCAGGTGTCTTGCCCAGCTGTGGCTTGGGGGGCACTTTTTTCAGTGCCATTGTAACTTCAAACAGTCACTAAGTGAACTGTTATAAGTCGAGGACTACCTGTACTTCATCACTTTTTTCCTTTTTCTTTTTTTGGTTATCAAGTTTTTGACACCTTGCTAGGCGACTGGTGGTATTCAAATGTTACCATATCCTAAAAGTGGTACAATGGGTGAAAAGGTTGAAAAGCCCTGATCTATACTACAATTGAGGAAAAGTGGTTTTAGATCTCCCAGCCAATGATTTTATTTAAGAAATGAGGTCTTAAGGCCTTGCATGAAAAATTTCATAACTTTTAATTTGAAAGATGAGCTCCTGGGTGAGCAGGCATATTGATGTACATGGACAAACAATCAGTTGGCTTTCCTGTAGCTTTACACATGCCAGATTAACAGCTTGCTTGTAATGTCAAACCAAGAATTACAACTAGACTACCCCCTGTAAAGAGTAATTGTCTATCCTAACTTCCTAATGAACGTGAACACATTGACCGTGTTTGTACAATGAAGTTGCCCTTGGCTTGTTCAGGCTTTGCATTTTCAACTGGCTGTGCCAAAATATAACCCCTTGTGAATCTTCTGAACTACCAAAACATCGGGTACAGGACTCATCCCAGCATCATCATTCCCAAACCAGAATGCGAGTCTTTGGAAACACTGGACCCTTGATGGAGAGGGCTGGGCCAAAGAACCAGCTGCAGCCTGACATGCTATTTTTGTTCCATGGATGTGCAAGATGTGCTCCAATACACACCTGTCTTTTCTTTGGTTCTCGGGGCTTGGCAGGGGAACTAGAAACCACCGAAACCAACAAGGAAAAAATAAAACATGTCCCAGTTACTGCAGTGGGCTGCAAAATCAAAGCAGCAGTTAAAAGTTCCAGAAGACGCAATTTAATAAGCTGCAGACAAAACAAAGTACATTCCCAGTATGAGGCTGAAAATAAATTTGAGCTTTTTTTAAAGTTCTTTTTTTAGCCAGCAGGGAAAAGAAAGAGGAATTCAAACTTGGTCATCTGGTCTAGTTGTGGGCCAGTTTCTTAATAACAGAAGCATTTTCTGACATTTTAATATCACAGGGTTGTTTGTGGAGGAGTTATTGGAGGTGTCTGCTCCTTTACAATCTTCATACTCTAAACCAAGCAGCTGACTACAATTCTTGTCAGTTCTCAGTTCATCTGTTAAATGCCATAATGGAGAAGAGGTGAAAATATTTTTCAGGTATCTGGTGTCCTCATTTCCAGCTTCATATCTACTTTATCTTGTAAAATCATCATCATCATCATCATCAATCATGATAGTATGTTTTAGTTTGCCAGGATTCTGTCTATATGTGAGGAACAATAAGTATTCTATTATTATTCAAATAGTGCTGTAATTTATTTATGATTTCTTTTGAATTTTTGAAGTTCTCTGTATGAATGATGTTGCAGAATATCAAAACTGTCCTGAACTCACAATTTTTAAATATGGGTTATTCAATGGCTCCTTACCAGCTTGGCGACTTGAGAAGGCAAAAACAATGATATCATCAAAGGTCCAGGTATAGTCTTGGTGTGGGGGATAAAATGCCAGCTTATCTGATGCCTCTTTTCTCAGATCAATCAAGAATGTGGAATGTATCATTGGGACTGCGAAGCAACCAGTTCTCTTCCATTCCCTGATCAGAGGATAATCTGGTGTCCTCTTGTAATAGCCCTAAAAAAAAGTATATAGTATTAAACTCTTTTTAAAAATCTCTTGCCTATAACAAATGACCTTCATCCTGTTTGCCAATTTATTTATTCAAAAATCTGACCATAAGCTGAAAGCTATCTAAACTATTGTTACATTCAACACAGAGTATATGTCAGGCTCCAAAAACCAAGAAAGACATGTTGTGATTCTTCCAAATAGATTTCTTTATTGTTTCTCACTTATAGACAGAATTTTGCCAAAGTAAAGCATGCTACCATTCCCATAAAGCATATACTCTAGGAACTATTAGGCAGGAGCGTCTTCACCCTCTTTCTTTCATGCAAACTATCTGAACTGAGTTGTCCCTTGCTCCTCTGGAATGCACTCCTTCCGTCCTGGGAATCTAGATTATATTCCATCACATCATTAATGATGGGATTCTCCTTTGGTTAAGGCGACAAATGCTATCCCACTCTAGGTAGCTCTACTTGACATGAACTGGTAAATATTTTGTGCTAGTTACGTGACTAGCTCTTTTAGTTATATAAACAGCTATCTGACAATACATTCTAGAACAGGGATGTCAAACTGCCGGCCGGTGGGCCAGACGCATCATCGGGAAACCATGCCCACCCCATTGCCGGCAATGGCAAGAAAGCTCCAATATGTTGCGTGATGTCATGTGATGTCGCAAGTTTGACATGTCTGTTCTAGAAACACAACTTTCCAACATTGCTCCAAGATGAAAAAGTATCATGACAAAAACAGAGAGATCTGAAGACTATTCCAAAATATGATTCACAAAAATATTCAAACTGAAATAGAATTCTGATGAAGAATTAAAGTGTTTTCTCTCTTTATTAACCTGTCTTAGCTATCTCTCAACAGTGTACTAGGATTTACATATGGTTGTTCCTAGTTCGAAGGAATATAAACCCAGAAATGTACACAAATCAAGTTAACTGGCCAACATCATGACAAACAGAAGACGTTTTGGCTTCCTGTTCCATAAAACAGTTGACACATCCTATGCCAACTGCACATCTGAATTTAATATGTAAATCAGCAGTCAATCCCCAGAAGAGAAAGTCGTAAAATTAAGAGTGAAGTCACTGGACTGAAAGTACAACATAAAAACTGGAGAAGGAGGAAAAAATGGTCCCAAAGTTGCTACTACATTTTAAGACTCTTCCCTTAATGGCTTAATTTTACTACTGCACAACATCATTTGCAGAAGATGTAGTTATATGGCTTTGAAAGAATGTGAACATAAATTTGTAGGTGAGACTCTTCAGGCTGGGGGAGGGGCAAGTGAGAAACTAGATGAGCCTTTGGTTTGATTCACCAGAATTATATTTCATTCATATGATTTGTATCTCATTCATATGTTAATCACATGCTTGTTTTTCCCTTTGAGAGTTGAAAATGAAATCCAAACTCTCTCGGATTCCATCTATTTTCCTTTGCTCATATATCTTGTTTAAGTAGATAAAACAGTAACATTACTTGCCTGAGGTGTCATTCCACACCAGAAGTTAGAGTACAGGGTTCGAGATTCAAGCATTGGGGCCACAAGAGTTTTATTCTCTGCTATCATTAGATTCAACACTTCCGGGTTTGTCAGAAAATTGTCAGCATCGGCAAACTAGAAAAATAGGAAGGAAAAAACATTACATTTTATCCAACTAAATTCTACTGAAAATAAAGCCGTTTTGATGTTCTCTTAATCACAAACTGGATTCTAAAAGCTATCACTCTCTCAATTCTTGTGAAGTAATAAAAAGAACATAATGAAGATATTTCCATCAGAAATCAATCCTCATAGGTCTTTGGTGAGATTTTTACGAAATGGGTAAAATCAATTTACATTTCACAAAAGGCACACATAATTGTGAATGGGGAATTAACAAAACTTGTGAGATACAGGAAGGGACTAATCAAAGATGTTCTGTGTCATCATTGTTATTTCTGTTAACTTTGGAAATATTGAACAGAGATACAAGGAGGGATGGGAGAATTGTTGGATTGATGGTTAAAAAGAGACACTTATAAATAATAGGCATTTATGAGTGACCTATTGATAATCTTGGAACATACTCTGGAAGAAATAGAAATATTCCTTACAACAGCAATTAAACTGGAATTTCTATCACTAAGCGAAGAGGTTGTAAAATTCTGGGTTTCTGCATTGCTTAGCGCCTGCAATCCCAGCATTCCTAGTTACACCAACTGAAAATCGAAGGAAGGAAGAACAAGAGGGAGGGAGGGAGGGAGGGAGGGAGGGAGGAAAGAAGGAAGGAAGGAAGGAAGGAAGGAAGGAAGGAAGGAAGGAAGGAAGGAAGGAAGGAAGGAAGGAAGGAAGGAAGGAAGGAAGGTTTTTATCTTACCATGATGTAGTCAGACCATTTTTCCCTTGCAGTTCTCAGAGCAGCCTGCCTTAGTTTCATCACATGAGTGAATCTGGAATTTGGCCAGTGCTTCGGTCCAATTTCCTCTGGATAAAACCTAACAAATGAAGAAAGTAAAAGAAATCTGTGTTTTCTCCCAGGCTGAATATCATTTTTTTCTTAGTTTAGTATTTTAATTTTTTAAAAAATCAGGTGGAACAAATATAGCCAGTCACCTCAAATGCTCCCAAAAGGTTAGAGCAGAAAATGTCAGTGATGCTTCTAAGCAAACACTTCCAAATGTATTTATTTATTCCTGGAGTGTGTACCAAGGACCGACTGGAACATACAGCTTCACTGCACTGCCTGTCCTATATGAGTGCTTGTGAATGACGGAAAACTGTACATAAATATGTTTTTTTTTATTCCATAGACCTAACACTCTAAGTTGGTACACCATACATGAGTTTGCATGCAGAATTCCATCCAGGTGTGGACTTTTACAGCATAAACAGCTTTATAAAGGATTATGAAAAGTCATAGACAAGAAATTGTTGTCAAACTGCTTACGAAGAGAGAAAACCGCATATAGAAATACTATCAGGTACATGATAAACTATGAGACAACCATCATTTGCACAGCCCACATTGTATATTTCCAGAAATCACTGGCTGACCAAGAAGCAGAATGTGGGCTACTTATTTTCTAGTCTGATCCAGCAGGATAAAAACAATATTTTTAGATCTCTCAACAGCTTTGATCTGCAACCTCTACATCTGAAAACAATTCTACTTGCTGCCTGTAAAAGAGGTCTGGGCAACTCACTTTTATACCTTTCAGGCTCCTGCTTTGCTATCAGCAATAATAAATCAGGAGGACTTTTTAAAAAGATATTCTTAAGCTGCAATTCTCTCTGCATTTATCTAGGAGTTTGCAGCACTGAATGCAATGAGCTTACTTATGAATAGGCATTGTACAGCTAGTTGCCTTATATTATTCCACCATTATTTGCAAATTGCAACAATGGTTAACAAAAAAGATTCTACACACACATAGCTAAAGTTTATCTGGTCTAGGTGGTTCTGTTTTTTACTACTAGTTTCCAGGAGAGACAGAAAATTAGTGTGAGGCAAATCTCAGAAACAAAATCATGCACTTTCAATATTCTGCCTAGGCATTTTGAACAGGAGATGTATTCTGTAGTAGTGCCAAGATCTGGCACAGAAGCCTAGCACGGCAAATTTTCCTGGCAAATTTCTACTCTAGATTGAAGGATGTTGAGAATATAACCTGAGTCAGGGAAGATCAAAGCAAGAGGGCCTTTTGGAGCAGGCAGAAAGAAGATTATGGAATCCTCCATTTTTTCCCTGCACAAACAAAATGCCTAATTGACAACCCAATAAAACCTCTGTTATATGTATGGTAGAGAGCCATCTAATTCTCAATTCGCTACCCATTAAGCAAGCAACCTCAGGAGGATTCTAAGGAGAGGAAAACCCATCCAATGTTCAAAATACCTAAGGTCAGCCAAGAATTTTAATCCCAACCTGTATTCCCAAGATTCATGTGCTGACACTTATTCCATCAAGTAACTTAGAAATTGCATTTCTTTGCTCCAACACTTACTGAGGGTCATCCATTGGCCTCCATTCGACATAGTGGTAGAGTGTTTGTACGTTCCTCAGCCACTCTCTGAGCATGGAGGTTGTGTTGTCAATGTTATGATCAGTGGCCACCCTAAGGAGAAAAAAATAGACATATAAAACAATTATTTGCATTTTGCCTCTTTTCTGTCACCTCTTTGAAAAGGCAACTGCTGGCTGGCAGCAGCTACACTATTAAGACTTTCCTGAAAAATGAAGATATACTAGAGGGCAATTACTCCAGGGCACTTACCTCTGCAGGATATCCTTTCAAAAGGATATTAACAACAATCAGAGAACCCTAGAGTTGGTAAAAGCCATTATGTCTAGCTTTCTGCACAGCACAATAATCCAAATTAAAACATTCCAGACAGATGAGCGTCAAGCTTCTGCCCAAAAATAGCCAAATCAAGGAGAGCCATTTTGGGTCATTAGTTCCAATGTTGAACTGCTCATAGTTCACTGGGTAAGTTTTAATTTTGAACAACCGCATACTAATAAAGATCAGGATAATTCATAAGCAGGAACAAAGTAATTAGGTTTTGGCTGAACACAATACCGTTAACAGACACATGCTCATATTCATATATTGTTTATGCTTGTAAATGCTGTGTGAATTAAACTAATAACCCAAAGGCAGGGCAGAGAGAGGGACAAAGAGTAAAACTCTGGTAAGGACTGCTCATAAACCCAGGATTTCAATATCTGGTAAGTAAGGCTGACACAGATCGAGGCCCACAGATACTTTGGAGCAATAATATCTTAGAAGATCAGAGAGATTACTTATGAATAGTATCTTTAGATTCAATTCAAATGACAAAAGGTACAACATTTCTCAATGATCCACTTTGATGAGGTCACCTGGTCCAGAAAACTGTTTTTCTATTCTGCTTGAGGAAACATTCCATATTACCTACCTCCATAGTTCTACAAGATCAGACAAGATCAACCAAGGACAGCCCTTTATCTTTTGCAATTGGGCAAACTCTGAAGGCAAACCCTTTAAAGTGACTTTAAAGTAATGAGCCAGAATATGATTGGTTCAGTTATTCCGCCCCTCTTTGAAACACCCTTCCCAGACACTAAGACCATTGGTACTCAGCCTGATGGCTCTACAACAGACATGTCAAACACAAGGCCCGTGAAGTGGTTTCATGTGGCCCGTGGAGCCATCCTGGAAACAGTGAGGGAACGGCCCCCTCTGCCTTGGCCCTGGCCCAGGCCAGTTGGGAGCCAATGTGCAATTTTGTGGTGGCCATCTATGTTGAAATGCATTCAGTCTTAGTTCCATAAACCCCCCCCCCCGCATAGCCTGAGAGGAACAGTGAGGCTCCTCCAGTGGACCATGCCTTGGCACTTGCCCTGGTCCCACCCCCTTCTCCCAGAGACCCTCAAATCTATCCCACTCCTGCCCAGGCCCCCACAGACACCCTTGACACGAAGGATGTAGAGCTGGCCACACCCACCCAGTAGGCCACACCCACTCCATCCATGCCCACCCAGGCTGAACCCACCCTGGCCACATCCACCCAGCCCCCTGAGGGCAACTGCAATGCTGATGCGGCCTTCAATGAAATTGAGTTTGACACCCCTGCTCTACAATGTTGAGAAAAAAGTTTTTGCCCAGGAAGTTAGACTTCATACTATTTTTAGTCAACTTTTGTTGATCCTTTTATCCTATAAACATGTAGTTTATAATATTTTAAATCTTATGAAATTTTTCGAAAGAGAGTGAGGGAGGAAGAGAGGGTTAAAGTCACATTTGGTGCAAATTCTGATTATATATGAAAATATGTCTTGTGACAGCTAGGAATATGTATCTCCCTATCAACAGAAGACAGTCCATGTCTCTAATCTTCCTTATCATTTAATAGGTTCTTGCAATTGAATTCTGTGGATGTAAGACAAGATCTGCTTATGGAAAGTTAAACTTTTTAAACTGGGGAGATGACAGCAATTTAGCCAACAACAACTCAATGTGGAAATATAAACATACCAATTTCAGTATATCACCTTTTCTGTTTTATTGAAATAATTCCCCTGCTTCTTGGTTTGGGAAATATGGATATAGAAATTTTTACTGAAGCAAAAACAACAAAAAAAAATTACATGCACATCTGTACTTGTGTTTAACCTGTCAAGCAGAGAAAAGAGACTATGAAAGAGACTATGAAAGAGACACAAGGCTTACACACATATTCTCTTCATGAGGGTGGCAGAAAGTTTCTGGGTTATTTTTGATATTATGTGAAAATGCTAGAATAGATAACATGTCCAAGAAGAGATAAATACATTCACTGCAAACTTTATGAAATTTAGAGTAGAATACAAAAACTGCTGTGTGTTGCCAGTTTGGATTTTGCATCATTTTTTATTAAAAAGGGATAACAAATGGGATAGCACCTTCATTTCTCCTTCACACTTGTTTCATATTTCATATTTAGGATATTTGATTAATGGCCATTGGTAGCCTTAGGATATTTCCCTCATAAAGCTGCAAGTAATTAGGCACAAGATTTCAAACCTAAACTTTTGAGAAGCCATTTTTCTAAAAGTTATGACTCTAGCTCTTGTGTTAGAAAATCAGATGGAGAACATTTCTACAAACCAAACAGTTGTAAAATATTTTTAGTTAAAAGCAATAAGCATATTATCATGTACACAAATGCTTATACTCTCTTTGTATCAAATCTACCCCTCCCTACACACACACACACACTACTATGTTTAAAATTAGTCTTTTTTTTTAAGGCACTCAATTCTAGTCAGTATTCTCTGTAAAGAAATCAGGGAGGGAGGGAGGGAGGAAGAAAGAAAGGAAGTTTTTAGAATAAGTCATTTATAGGTTGAGGGTGATAACTGAAAGCTTGATATCTAATCAGACATTTATTTTACTGAAAGGTAACAAAAAAAGAGGAACAATCTTATTTGGCAATGAAATGGCTGAACTGTAGCGATTTTGTATTTAACAAATAGAACGTTATGACACCTAGATAATATTCAGCAAATCAGTCAGAGAATTAACAACATTTTTCCATCTTTCTTCCATGCGTACATCCCTGTTTTGAGCCTCTGCTTATTTGCTTTGTGACTCCTGTCAGGGAGCAGAGAACAGCGTACTTTACTATTTTTTATCCTGGTAGGAAAAGTACCTTAATTCCTACCAAAAGAAACACTTTGTGCTTCCTGGTTTCCAAGATTAAGTACCACATTGTGGTTTATGCAGAACAGGGAGAGAAAACACTCCCCTAATGCAAACATAAATGTTTATTCCCCTATTTCCCCAACATAATATGAAATGCAATATTCTTATTAGTTTGGGTAGGATATAGGATACACAAAAAAATTGTGCTCTACTAATTATTGTGGGCAGAGAAACATTACAGAGAAAAAGTAAAATTAAATTCCAGTATACCTGCATATCATAACTGTACCAAACAAACATTTGAAGATCACAGTGGTACACACAAAGCAATCACCATGACATTTTTATAGAGTGAGTAAAAGGTATGTTTTCAATATTTTGTTACACTTTCAAAATATTTTTCCTCATTCACCTTCTATACATAGCAGGAAAAATGTTCGGTTAGATTTTTTTTAAAAAAAATTATACTAATTCCACCAAGGGAACCTTTTTAGATTTGCTCTAGAGAATAACACATATTCTGGGCTACTCTGGTTATTTATATAGGATACTCCGTACAATTAGTTGCTGCATGTTTAACCTTGCTTTAAATATGCTTATAAAGAAAAACCTCTTAGTATTAACAAAGGGTATTATGCAGCAGCTATTTTGCATTCTCCTTGGTAACGGAAAGAGAAATAAAAACTGCAGCAGAAGCAGCAGAAGTGGGAACATACAGAAAGCTTGCCAATGGAATACAACTTTGTTTGACCAGCTCCCGCAAACCATTAGTTTCCAGCAAATACACAGTGATTGCACAACAGAAGACTTATGAGGAAGCACATCTGAACAACAGTAGTTACTTTTCTAAATGAACAAATATGTAAGACTACAGATGCCATGAAGGAAAGATTAATAACAGGATCAAAACTCATAATTCTCACTCAGAACTGCCAACAGTTTGCTTCACCAAAGAAAAACAATTCTTCTGAATTAAAAATTTGTATGGCTAGTCTTCTAACTCAGCCAAGGAAGCAACAATCTAGTCTTCATTTCTGGGCAACTTCCAGATGTGTTGCAACTACATCTCACAAGTGAGGCCCTGCCCTTTTTAATTCTGACCTATGGCACACAAAAAGGAATGGATTTCAACTATGCAATTGCAATCACTATCTTTGATTTATTTTTTTACCCCTCTCCCTGATGTCCCCAACCACTTCTCAGAACTGTTATCTACACTGGCGTTCTCCACTAATCTTTTAAGAGATGTAATTTTTCCACCTTTCTGCAGAAGCCTAAGAGGAAAAATTGGCAGTTAATTTTAGGAATAACATAACTTTATTAAAATTGTTACAAAGAAAGATAAAAAGAGAAACTAATAGCGAGTGTCTACAAACAACTAGGCAACCAAGCTAAGAAGCTAGGAGCACAAGTAGTGTTCTCATCAGTACTCCCAACGAAAGGCCAACACCAATTGAGGGGAAAAAGAATTCTAGAAATAAACCACTGGCTAAAGGGTTGGTGTTGCCAAGAAAACTTTGGTTTCCTGGATCACGGACTGCATTTCCTTTGCGAAAGACTCTTGGCAAGGGATGGGCTGCACCTCACGAAAACAGGGAAAAATGTAATTGGAAAAAGACTGGCCCAACTCACCAGGAGGGCTTTAAACTAAAACTGAGGGGGGGTGACCAATTTTCAGAATATCTAGAACCCAAAACTAATCATAAATCCCAAGAAAGCAAATCAAACAATGAGGTGAGCAGAGATTAAAAAAAACCTCAAACAACATTTAGGAAGTGCAGGAAACATACCCACGGACAGGCATAAAAGTCTTAAAGGCTTGTATACAAATGCTCAAAGCTTGGGGAACAAACAGGACAAAACTAGAAGAAATAGTACATGAGGGAGGGTATGACATAGTTGATATTACAGAAACCTGGTGGGACGAAACCCATGAATGGAATGGACTG